AGGAGGAGTTCCAGTGTCTTGCTGCTGCTTTACCTCATCTTGTGTCCTCGCTACTTGCCCCTGAGGGAGACCCAGATGCACCAGACATCCCGACTCCGCGCTCTTACGCAGAGGCGATAGAGGGTCCCTACTCCTCTCAGTGGCAGGCAGCCATGGACGCAGAGATGGCTTCCTGGAAGTCCACAGGCACCTACGTTGACGAGGTTCCCCCACCTGGGGCGAACATCGTCAGTGGCATGTGGATTTTCAGGGTGAAGCGGCCGCCGGGTTCTCCGCCTGTCTTCAAGGCGCGTTACGTGGCTCGAGGCTTCAGTCAGCGAGAGGGAGTTGACTTCTTCCAGACCTTCTCCCCCACCCCGAAGATGACCACTCTTCGGGTGCTGCTGCATGTTGCTGCTCACCGTGACTACGAGCTTCACTCTCTTGACTTCAGCACAGCTTTCTTGCAGGGCAGCCTGCACGAGGAGATCTGGCTGCGCCGCCCCCCGGGCTTCACTGGGTCGTTCCCTCCTGGCACCCAGTGGAGCCTCCGGCGGCCGGTCTACGGTCTCCGCCAGGCGCCACGTGAGTGGCACGACACACTGAGGACTACGCTTGCGGCTCTTGGGTTCGCGCCTTCTACTGCTGACCCGTCGCTGTTTCTGCGCACCGACACTTCACTGCCGCCGTTCTACATCCTCGTGTACGTCAACGACTTGGTTTTTGCCACTGCTGACACTGAGGCTCTCGCCCACGTGAAGTCGGAGCTGCAGAAGAGACACACGTGCACAGACTTGGGTGAGCTGCGCAGCTACCTTGGCTTGCACCCGGGACAGAGCACGCCGCACCATCACCTTGACTCAGTCACACATGGTGCAGCAGGTCCTTCAGCGCTTCGGCTTCACCTGGTCTTCAGCACAGGCCACTCCTCTGGCTACAGGTCACACGCTCTCAGCTCCACCTTCGGACGAGTCCGTAGAGCCGAGTGGTCCTTACCCAGAGCTAGTCGGCTGCCTCATGTACCTGATGACTTGCACTCGACCTGACCTCGCGTACCCTCTTGGTCTTCTGGCTCGCTACGTGGCTCCTGGTCGGCACCGACCTGAGCACATGGCTGCTGCTAAGAGGGTACTGCGCTACTTGTGCAGCACATCAGGCATGGGGCTAGTGCTTGGAGGGACGAGCCCAGTTGTCCTCACTGGGCACGTCTTGGGTTGACGACCAGGCTACTCAGCGGTCGTCACAGGGTTACACCTTCAGCCTTGGCTCTGGTTCAGTTTCATGGCGTTCTACACGATCGTCTTCAGTTCTCAGCTCGAGTTGTGAGGCTGAGATCTACGCCACAGCCATGGCTGCACAGGAGTTACGCTGGCTCACCTACCTGCTGACTGACTTGGGAGAGCAGCCTCGTTCTCCTCCAGTGCTGTACGTCGACAACAAGGCCGCCATTGCCTTGTGTGAGGAGCACAGACTGGAGCACAGAACGAAACACATCGCTCTACGTTACTTCCTGGCTCGAGAGTTGCAGCAGCGAGGCCAGCTTCGTCTTCGCCACGTGGCCACTCGGGCCAACACTGCTGATATATTCACCAAGGCACTTCCGTCTGGTGATCATCAGCGCTTTTGTACCCTGTTAGGCCTTGTGCCTACGTTTCCACACTTGCTGTAGTCTCTGCTTGTACTGTGATCTATATATATACATGCATGCCTGCTCTTGCTAGGTAGTCATCACTGTACTGTTATTGTTGCATATATATCTCTGCATGTGGACTGGCCTTGTGGCCCTTTGCTTGTGCTCAGAATGTGTGGTGACGTTGAGATCCACCCTGAGCTTGCTTTGCTTCTCTTGACTGGTCGTTTGACCCCTTGTTCTCCCCCACTTTGCCTATGGGGGTGTGTCAAACATATATGCTGCATATTGTCTAGGCTGTAGTGGGGTAGCCCATATGGGGTACAGCCCAATTAGGGTTTACTACTTGTACTCCTGCATGCTGCTAGTTCATCCATTCCTGCTGCTAGATTCTGACAAGGAAAATCTTCAGTATACATGGAGCAGTCGAAGCTTCAGGAAATTCCTGCCGACGACGAACGATCTGACACATCAGCAAAGCGTTGGTGGGAGAAACGTGGTTTTCAGTTAAACAACATCGGCAAGGGCACTTCGACAACGGGGTTGACGGCGTTGAGGCGCGCTAGGCTCCGTGAACGACGGTCTCGGAATAACCCAGGGCAAGTCCCCGGTTCCCGATTATACCCGCATGCTGGGTTCGGGTGAACTGACGGAAACTACTGGTGACCGAGTGGGCGGCTATATTACGACCGAAAATTTTGGAGGACAACTGCACCTAAAACTGCGGATTTTCAGGGCTGTGTTCGAACGACATTTTCGGAGTTTTACGCGAGACTTACCATGTCTTCCGGCGAGCAGAGCCGACAATTTCGGAGGAGTTTTCGGAGTTTTGGCTAATCGCGCGCGAATTTTACGTGGGACAACACCGCGGGACCTACTCGGAGTTTCAAGGGGTACGAACGACTTACGACGAACTGAAGAAGGCGGCAGCAACAGTGAAGGGGGGGGAGGGAGGGAGACAGCTGCAATTTTTTCATCTCTGCCCAAGGGCCTCCTGCGAATTACGACAAACTTCTCGGCGAGTCTGGACAAACCCGCCGAGTGTGCTGACATCATCTGACACTAAACCGGCGTTCGACAACATTTTCGGAGTGAGATTCGCGCTTGGTAACTTCTGCATCGACCTTCGCCGACACTCGTATTCAACTTCGCCTCTAATCGTATTCTTCGCCGACATTTTCGTAACACTCCCGATTTTTCGGCCAGAGGATTTCGGGACAAGACACCCAACTCTACTAACGACAATTCGCCCAACTCGACCCGCCCCCGACAACCGATTCGATTCTGCCTACATCAGGCCAACTGCAACTGCCGAAGATACTGCAGGATTCTGGCACGTAAAGACAGAACATGTTCAGTTCGAGTAACACGGATTTTCCGTCGCGGTTTCTGGTCTACTTTCCCTGGTTTACCCTTGAGAATTTTGGGGCACGTACCAACTGCTTTCGCCATCGAATTTCCACACCGACACCACTTCGCCTGGACTTCTTCTTTCGACACCCGTTTCATTGGGACTTAACACCTGGTTTTGTTTGTTTTTCTCGGCTTGGCACAGCTGCGAAAGTTTTGTGAAAGTTTTCTTGGGAGGGGGGAGAAAGTGCGCTGCACTGTTTTCCTTCGGCGTTTTCTTCGGCACGATTTCTGACCTTGTCAGAATGCGTCAGCACGACGTACGACTGCGATTGCCTTCAGCGAAATCGATGGTTCCTGTCCATCGCGATTGATCACCGCGTCAGCAGGTCCCCCCCACGTTCGCGTCATCGTCGACCGTCAGATCGACTTCGAAATGCATCAACGGCTTCAATTCCAACTTTTAGTTCGTTTTTTGTCATAGCCATTCGCGTCCGTCAGATCGAAATCTGACTTCATCTACGGCCCACATTCCAACCTTTAATTCAAAATGGGCCAGGCCATCTGCAGCCGTCAGATCGGGATCTCACTTCTTCGACGGTCTACATTCCAACCTTTTCAAACATATTGCCTGGGGCATTTCAGCCGTCGGATTCAGCTGAAGAGGAAATCAACGGCATACTCGCTAATGAAGGCTCCGTCTACATACAGGGAGGCCTTATTTGGAAGGTGGGAGAGTGTAAGGAATTACAATTCCTTACTGTACTCGCATTTTAGCGAGTACAATCCGAACACCACGCGTCAGCCCGGTTCGGCCTACATTTCCGCCCCGAACCACTTCCGAGTCGCCACCGCTCCAATCGCAACACCTTTCGAGCCATCCTAGCCCGAACCCTTCGCCTAGCTAGGATTCTCCTTATAAATTCGCGTCACTTTCATTGTATCGTCATTCAGTAGTTCACATTCTCGATATTCGTATCACTGCGCACTGTGCAAGTTCATTCATAACACACCATGTTCAATAACGCGTAACATCAACAAGTATTTCGATACATCAACAATTACTTACACCGCACCGATTCGTGTCTTTCGCAAGAACCAGTGACGAGATTCAGGTAACCGCCTTCTTGCTTGCCAACAAGTATTTCCCCCAAATGTCAATCAACTTCTTTGTCAGATGTTCCCTAGGTCCAAAATTTCTCCTGCTTTCCCAACTTCACAATCATGCATGTGCATGGCGGTTGCGAGCACCAAATCCGCGACCAAGTGGAGACCGCACGGCATGGCGCGTGGACGGGCTTAGGTGGCACTGACTGTGACCTTCTCTATTCGCCCTAACCTGTATCCGACCTTACCCCAGCGGGCTTAGCTGGAACTCACTGAGAATCTCTGCCCCACCTTCACCTGTACCATCCATAGTCCTGAGGCCTGGCGTCGTCCCTCATTTCACGTGCCTGTCGGGAGTCGGAACGGACGCGCGGCGACCGAGCTAGCCCAGTCACACCTCGGACGCCACGCGTCCATCTCTCAGTAACTTGGGTTATCCAATGCAGTCGCTTTCGAATAGCATCTTTACCAGATGTCTCCCGCTTCGGCGCCTCCTCTTTTGCATTTCGACCATCCGCCGTGTGCATTTGCCATGGTGCATCCGCTATGTGCATCCGCTCCCTCCGCCCGTCCTTTTCCTCCTCGTTCCCCCGCGAGCATCATCGTCATCCGTGCGCATACGGCGATGCGCGCATGCAACAACGTCGAATGTGCGCCCAGGCTTATTGACCCACTAGTTGTATCTCTCACCTTCATCCCGCATCGCGCGTCGCTCGTCCCGCATCGCGCATCGCGATGTGTTCCTTCCGCCCCAGCCCCATCCCCGCCCCTTCCGGTCCCTCCCAGCTCCCGGTTCCCAACTCCATAAAATCCTCCCTCCATCGTCAATCCATCCCGTGACGTTCTCTCTCTCCCGCAACCATTCTTGTTTTCACTCGCTCGCTCGCTCCCCTTCTCTCGCCACCTTCGCGTGCGCACCACCCCAATCGTGGCCATGGCAACCCCGTCCCCGCTCAAGTCCGTGACGGCGCACTCGTGGGAGACTGAACCCGAGGGCGCGCTGGAGGGAATCGTTCTCGAGGATGATGCGATCTTCGACCCCGTGAAGGCCGTCAAGGGCAAGGTTTCGAAGCTCGTGCCGGAGGAAGGCGCGCACAAGCCCACGCACTGCCTTGCGCGCCTGCGCTTCCACCCCAACACGGAGAAGCAGCTCAACAACATGATCAAGTATGGGCTTCCGTGCCAGGATGTTAGGTTGCTTCCCCCCCTCCCCTCCCCCCTTAAATTTTGTGATACTCTTGGGTTTGTCGTTGTCCAGTTCTGCTACCCTCGAATTCTTCTGTCTCCCTCTCTCTCCCCCTCTCTTCTCTCGTGGTAATTATGCTGACAAACGCCTTATATTGGATTTTTTCCGCCATGGGCAGTGTGGAGTACGCCATGTCGTACACCTTCCACAGCATGAGCAACTACTATGCTCGTGACTGCGTGGGCCTTCCGGGGCTTGCAACGTAAGATACACCCTCCAATTTTGTGCGTTTTGTTGCTGTTATATTATTTTGTTTTTAATACCCTCATGTCAGGCGCGTTGTGAACTATTAACCTGTCATGCAACGCCGGGTTTGTATGTCCTGCCCTCATGTGCTTCTGTTGCAGGCTTTTCATGAAGCGCAGCAACGAGACCAGGAAGAACGCTATCGAGCTCGCTGCCTATGTCGTAAGTGCCTTCAAGCTCCTGGGTTTCTCATTCGACTTACCAGGGCCTTAATTAAACCTGCATACTCAATCTCCGATTTCTCTGTCCATTGGCATGTGCATGTCATTTTTCGCAGTCCAAGCGTGGAGGGTGTGTGGTGCTGAAGCCCATTGCTGCACCTGAGGGCGAGTATGGCGATCCTCAGAAGGGAGACGCTCTTAGCGGTACGTCGTAAACAGCATTGCTAGCTGGAATTATGCTACTTAGTTGCATCAACCCAGAAATGCGCCATCACAGCAACTCCTCGTGAACAATATATTTTGGGTATCCTGGTCCTGGAATTCGTATTGCAGGCATGGAGTTGACCCTGGCTATGGAGAAGGCAGAGACTGACAAGTTCCTCTCGCTGAACAAGGTACAGTGCTGTTCCATTGTTGTGATGCTACCTTGTCCTGACTCTGGCGTTTCCAAAAACTACCCTGTTACTGCTTTGCGCTGACTGTTCTCTTACTACATCCTGGTTCATTCCACAGGCTGCGGAGGATGTGGTGGATGAGCAGCTTTCAGACTTCCTCACAGACAACTTTATTGACAAGCAGGTCTGTGGTTGCTGCTGGGATGGGATATGTGTGGGATTGGATTGGACTTAAAGGCTATGTAATTATGCTAACGTATTTTGATCAGCAACTGCTGTTGTAACCGTGTTTTTTTCCTTTCTGAACCGTGATTCCTCCTGCCAGGTGGAGCTTCTCAAGCTCCATTCAATCTATGTGTCGCAGCTTCGCCGCGTCCGCACTGGTCATGGTGAGTGCAGATTGCGTTTGTAATGGGTTGTAAACGGACATTGTACTGCTGGGCTGGTGCGTCCATTCTGGTACCGTATCTTGTGAATGTCAATTTTGTAATGGTGGTGCTTTTGACTTCCATTCATCCTTGCAGGCCAGTGGCACTGGGACAAGACGCTGGCAGAAGAGCTTGGGTCCTCTGCCGTGTAAATGTGCATTGAAATTTTAAAGGGGCCATCATGTGGACGGCCTTGACTGGGATATAGCCTGGTTTTACTTCCTACCTTTTTGGGGTAAATAGAGCGGATGTCTACTGAAGTTTGTTCTTACTGCTTGTAAATCAAATTCAGAGACAATCCAGCATTTTCAAAATCAAAACGCATCATGCCTTTATGGAAGCTTGAATGGACTGTGAGAAGATATGCGACCAACTGAATGTTCCCCCTCATTTCTACGCAGCTATGGCTGCCGTGGTTGGTGCCTTGGCGCCTACCTGTGCACGCGCTGCATCTCTGAGCGCACGGCACTCACGGGAAGATACAAGCTGCTTCCATGCGTGCTCTTCCTTGGCTGGGAAATGCTCAGGTAGTTCCCTCTCCGCCAGCCGCAACTTGTTTAGGCGAAATATCGACACTAGTCTGTTACTTTCGCGTGTTGCTTCGCGAAAAATGACGTCATCTACAGGCGGAGGAGGTCTGTCAGTCCGTGCCAATAGTGATCCCGTAAGGGAGTGGATTCTTAGCGAGACGGGGGGTAAGGCGAGCACAATAACGCGGATATCTCCTGTGTTCGGCGGGTGTATCAATAACGCGTCCAGATACGACACGGACGTGGGGTCGTTCTTCGTTAAGACCAACAGGTGAGAGAGAGGGTGGGCTAAATCGGGGAGGCGGGCGTTGGAAGGGGAGTGAGGCGGGAAAGCGTGAAGAGGTATGTGGTTGCGAAGCAGTTGGTGAGGAGGAAAATATGTGCACTGGCGAGGAATCTGCGCATTGACGCATTTGGTGCGCGTTTCGCATTCTCCCTTCACCGTCCTCCCGCTTCCCACTCCCATCTCCCGCTCCTCCTTCCCCTTTTTCCCTTCCCCCTCCCCCCAGCTCCGCGGGCCCGGCAATGTTTGAGGCGGAGGTGGCGGGGCTGCAGGCGATGGTGGAGGCGGGGGCCATCCGCGTGCCACGCCCCTTCACTGCAGGCGCCATGCCGCGCCGCGGGTCGTATGTGGTCATGGAGTTCATTGAATTCGGCCAGTTTAAAACGCAGGTGCGGAGGGAACGGGCGGAGAGCGGCGGGAAGGGGTAGGTGGGACAGGGTCATACATGGTCATCAATCAAGTTCAATGAATTCGGCTAGCTCAAAACGCAGGTATTGTGGGGGAGCGGGAGAGGGAGAAGAGCATGGGTAGGGACAGAAGGGCCAAGGGAGGGAAAGAACGGCTAGGGCCGTACGTGGTTATGGAGTTCATTGAACATGGACAGGTCAAAATTCAGGTGTGGAACTGTGGAGGGAAAGGAGGGAGAAGAGGGAAAGGGGGGAAAGAAGGGAAGGGGGGGAAGAAGAGAGATGCAAATGGGTCAGGGTGTTAATCGTCATATAGATCATGGATGGCTGGTTGACCAGACAGTATGAGGAACTACAAAATCAGCAGTTTGTCTTTGTCTTTCTTTTCCTGACTTATTATCCAGGTTGACGTGGCTGATTTGGAACCCTCCTATGACATTATTTACCTTCACTCTCTCTCTCTCTCCCAACTGCATGTCTCAGGCAGAGCTAGGGCGGCAACTAGCTCTCATGCACCTGCAGGGATTGTCGCCAAATGGACAGTTTGGTTTCCATTGTGACAACACCATTGGCAGGTGGACCCGTAGCACACATGCAGCACACACATTCACACTGAATCTAGATAAATAAACAAATAGAAAAAATTGTGACTGTTCACTTTGTCTCATTGCGGCTTTATTTCCACAATCTAGTCATAGGCCTAAGCAGTAGGCTCATGCCAAAAGCCTCGTTTTTGCACCAAATCTCTGACTCTCTCTAACACGTGGATTTTTCCACCATCTTTGTTTGGTTATCTGCTGTCTGATGCTGCCACTGCCTGCTGTTGCTGCTGCTGCTGCTGCCTCCCGTTGTGCCATGCAGCACGCCACAGCCCAACAAGTGGGAGAGCGACTGGGTGACATTCTTCAGAGAGCATCGGCTCGGCCACCAGCTGAAGCTCATTCGCAAGCAGTTTGCCGATAATGCTCTCGTTGCCAGTGGTGAGACAGGATGGTGTGTGTGTCTGGTGCATTGACCGCGTATGACATGTGATGCATCATAATGGATGGTGGATGGTGTATGTTCCATGGTGGATGGTGTGTTCAACATGGCATGCCTCAGTCCTTCTTATATTCATCTATCCTACCTTGTAACTCACTCAGGGGAGAAACTGCTGGAGAAGCTTCCTGAGTTGCTTGGTGGAGTGGAGGTAAAGCCAAGCCTCTTGCATGGGGACCTCTGGAGCGGAAATATTGCTGCGGATAAGGAGGGAAACCCAGTCATCCTCGACCCGGCTACATACTGTGAGACACCACCAGTTGGAAACGTGGCAGCTAGTGCACTAGGCATTGGGAAATCTAAATGTGTGAAGCAAGCTTTGCTGCAGAAACTAGGTTGGAATTCACTCTCATACGTACTTCGCCTTTACTGGCTGTACCTCTTCCCTTTGACATGTGCAGATGGGCACAGTGAAGCTGAGTTCGGAATGTCATGGTGTGCCAGTTTCGGCGGTTCTTTCTGGTCAGCGTATTTTGAGGTCAGTACTTTTGCCACCTGTTCTTGTTGCGAAGATCATCCGGCAGTTTTGCATTTCCATGGCAGTTTACTCTATTCTGATATGTACTGCTAATTATATCGTGCTGTGTTAAGTCAATAAACTTATTGTTATCTTTCCAGGTTCTTCCAAAGCAACCTGGCTTTGAAGAAAGGGTGGAGATTTACAAGCTGTACCACTACCTCAATCATTATAACCTCTTCGGATCATCATATCGCTCGTCGTGCATGTCTATCATCAATCGGTTCATCTGATGTGGACCTTCTGATGGTAATGGCGCATTAGTGTGGTACTGTACCACGCAGTCAGTAGAACCGTAGGCCATGTTAATAGGTACCATATTCATAACAAACACTGGTTGGACAAGTCTGAATCGCAGTGTACAAATTGGGGTTCATATAATTTTTGGGTGAAACCTTAGGAACCTTACTAAGGAACCTTAAAGCTTTTACAGGGACCACATACCAAGGTACTACTGCTGTACCAGCACTTTAGATACCGTACCCTGCATCTTACCTCGATGCTCAGCGCTTTAGATACCGTACTGAACTTTCATTGCTTGGCCGCAACAGTACAACTTATAGCAAAATGATATTACATAATAGCTCTGAACAAACGAAATGCATCATAGACACAACCTAGCAGGTGATCTAATCCGCTGTACATATCAACTCAAGCCACCAAAACTCATGTACAGATCTGGAAGACAGCTTGCGAGGGATCTCACACCCCACCACCTGATGGTTTGCTCGTTCCTCTCGCGGGTCTTCATATGAATCAGACAAGCCTTGAAAGTAACGGACAATGTCCGTCCACGGCTTTAATAGGAGAAAAAAATCCTTCGATTCGAGTCTTGGGAGCAACTGATGCTGAGACTTTACAAGAGTCCGCTCGAACAGACTCGGAAGCTAATGGTAGGCCTTGGACCTGAATAACAGACGGCCTCCGAAAATTACAGTCATTGACTATAGGATTGGAAGCCCTCGCTGGAGGGGAAAAAACAGGGAGCTTGTCCGAAGAGAAATCCTTCCCTTCCTGAAGAAAACGGAACGGGAGCTTGTTAATAATGTGGCAGGGTAGGTGCACAAATTTAATAAGACTAGGTAGGGAGGTCATGTACCCGAAAAAACAAAATATCCATGAGTTCCTTTCCAACGTCAGGATCCGCCTTCGAAGGACCGCATCCACTGCAAGAAGGCCAAAGAAATAGGTGGGAAATGAGTAACAACATGCAGCAGTAACCAACCATTCTGCGTTAATTACATTCACAAACCTAAGGGGTCTTCGAGGCTTCGCATCGGAAACACTGAGCACTGGAACACGAATTTGCCGTGGACATGGATACAACAACGCTGAAGCCTGAGGGGAAACAGGGTTAACTGGCCTAGGCCTCCTTCGTTCCAAAGTATCTACTTTCGTGTCGGGCATATTTAACAGAATCGTATGACTACACATTCCAGAATACTTAATTGACAACAAGCTAATCTAAGCAGGCAAGAACACTGTCGCATGCCGACAGCCGGAATGGACTAACTGGAGGCCATGGCTAGAGGAGTACAATCAAATAATGGCTGTGTATGGTGTGAACAAGAACGGGAAACAGATGAAACCCTCATTTCATAAAGCAGCTGCTTGTCTCTTCTAGCAGATTTCCGTTGTTAGGCTCGGACAGGCAAAGCTGGGTGAAGCCAGACGGGCACTCCCATTCCTTCACACACTCCCAGAACCGTTCGTTGCGATGGAGCGTTTTGTGATTGGCGCACACATCACCTACTAGCAAAACACGGGCTAGAAATTTTTGCTTCCCGCACGCCTCAATCCCCCAAGACAGCGACACGCTAGGCGGTCAGAAATTTTTAGGCGCCACGTTATCCAGCCGATGTTACGGGATGGGAGGCCATGCTTTCGCTGGGCACCTCGTTTAAAAATCTCTTTTGGCGGCGGAACCTCCTATCAGGATTCAGCACGGCCACCTGGTCGCAGAAAGTGGCAGTTCCGACTTCGAAGGGTCAGGGCCAAACCAACACTTTGGCGCCAACCTGGCAAGATCTGGACACACGAACTACATTCATGCTCCTTCCAGAAATGTCGTAGAAAAATATTGATCTGCCCAATGTAACGGACGTCCGTCGTGCACAAGCTTCAAGCTTTTTGAACGGGCACAAATATGCAAATATGTAGCGTCTAGAAGCGATCTGCTGAAAACCATAAGGACGTGGGCCCAATCGACTTTGATCGGCGCGATCAGAGGCGATCAACAATTTCGACGAAGGCGGGAAGCCATTTTCAGGCAATCGGGGGCAATCAGTTGATTGCGATCAGCTGATCGCGCCAACTCGATCAATCGCATCAAACAGCCCGATCAGACCCGATCAGACTCAATCAGCCCCGATCACTTGATTGCATGTGATCGGGGACATGGGCGACGTACGCGAAATGTAACAAGCTTCGCCATGAGGTCTCGAAAAGTTTCGCGATAGTTAGAAGGTTCTGGAGCAGACCTTGTGCGCAGTGCTAAGTTCGCGACATTACCACGATACTTCAATTCGCTGATATCGCCAAAGTTGTGATGCAACTACCAAGTAATGAGTAGACGGCTGTCACGCAAGAGCGCTAAATGTTCCAGGAAAATCAGCTCTGATCGGGCGGCGCGCGAAAAACGATCAGAAGCAATTCGATCCAATACAACCCGATCCGATCCGAGCTGATCAAAGTCGATTGGGCCCACGTCCTAATGAACCTTTCTGTAGCTATTTAGGAAAACCCGAGAACACGAAAGAACTGATTCCTCCACACACAGCCTTAATTTTCTCTATGACAAAAAAGGGATATTGATAATACAAGAATGTACAAAGTGGAGACGTAAGTTTTACATTCTTTGGCCTTTGTTGCGTAAAGTGACTGGAAGAATTTTATTCTCTGTTTCAAGCTATAAAAATATGTGAATGTAATCCTAATACTCTGGGTCTTATGCCATTGGGGAATAATTACCAAGCTGTCCGTCAATATATTTACTTATTATCTTCTACTCAAGATAAAGTTGTGGAAAATTCCATGATTATTGGTGCGAGATAAGATTACCACCTAGTTCTTAAAGTACATCTCAAGATATACCATGTTTAGTGAATTGTGGTGACACTGTATTATCATTTGTGAGTCATATCTCTTACATACTCCTTTCCAAATAGCGGCATTGCGGAATGGCGCGTCATGCGTTGGCAAGATGATTGGTCCGGAGAGACAGCTGACACCCACATTGCAGCCGCGATGTGAGTGGGGCGTGGCATGAATGAAGATCTTCGATACCTAACCAATCAAACAAAGGTGCTTATTGTTTCACATGAGTGTGGTTGTGTATTGCTTGCTTCGCGCCCACATAAAACGTGTCTCTGGCTGGAAGTGATCTGGCAGCTTAGTGAGAGACGTCGAGCTTGCGTCAGCCAACGGAACGAGGGGCTGGCGCTGACTCATGCAATCTCTTGAGCTGTCCAATGGGAGGGAGACTTTCTAACAATATTATGGGTTAAAGAGACGATTTCTGCCCGTGATCTGTGTAAAGGGTTCTGGATCAGCAAAATGTGCACGACAAACATAAAATAGTAATTTATGAGGTCCATATCAGCGAAATACAGTCAATTGTCTTATTTGTTTCAGAACCCTTTTACCATGAACATTTTGCGTGCCAGCCCGTGCTCGTTACCCGTGCCGCGTGTGTCATCGTCGAATTCTCATTTGCTGACCTGCCTGACGTGGTTTATCATGTCCCATCTCTCCCCCTTCGCTTGCACTTCTCATCACGTTCATTCAACCTCCTTCCACACCATCTCCCAACCAACCAACCCTCCGTTGTGCAGCTCGAAACCTCCGCCTCCACCCGTCTCTTCAGTGTCCATTACCATCTATTCAAAACCCTACCGATTTTGAGAGGTCGAGGGTCGGGCTACCGCTGCGTGCCTCCTGCTAACCGTGCCGTTGTTGTACAATTCCCAGCCTTTCTTATTTGTGGGAGGCTCATTCAGCCTTGGCGAGATTACCCGTTTCGTCTGATAATTAATCTCCATGGCTGCCGCGTGGGGTGTTCAGGTTGGAACCATGACGCCCACTCCGTCTAACTCGATTTCTCAGCCTCGTCGCGATGCATTTTCCGGACCTCCAAGACCGTCATCCAGCAAACCTATGCCAATCTCAGCCTCCCCGATCACAATCAGAGCTTATCTGCCATCGGCGCACGGCTTGATTCGCGGGCCGTCTGCGGGTCCTGCGACCTGCCGCAACACTGTATCATGGCAATTGGGAGTAGCAACACCTTCAGGCCGTACCAGTAACACGACGCGGCGGGTTTTCTCGGTTCGAGCAGCCGCTTCAGGAGCCGCCACCGAAGATCCTCACACTCGCTCCTCGTCCGCGGCGATGGAACGGACCGCCAACTCACTATACGATCTGCTCGGGCTTTCCCGCCGCGACGCGTCCCTGGAGGAGATCAAGGGCGCGTACAGGATGCTAGCGCGGCGATATCACCCGGACGTCCGTCCGGAGGGCCTTTCCCTCGAGGAGTGCACACAGAGGTTTATCGAGGTGCAGGAAGCTTACGAGGTTCTCTCTGATCCGCAACGCCGTGCTATGTACGACTTCGAGATGCTGCACCCGGCTTCCGCTAAGGCCGGCGCGCATCCGTGGAGAAGGGAGGCCGGCTGGCGACGAGGCGTGGCGCGTCCCTGGTCTACGGTGGACTCTCCGTGGCAGTCGCCTGAAGAGGAGGAGCAGATGCGCACGGCGTGGCGCGCGCAGTGGGGGAGTCAGCTGTCGGGCCTGAAGCAGCGGGCTCGGGCGCAGTCTAAACCCGGTTCGTGGGCTGCGCGCATGCGGCAGGAGCAGGGAGGCGAATCCGCTTAAGCGGGACGTCTGATTCTTGTATATTCTTCTCGTCGCGATCGGGAATCGGCCGGCCGGCCGAGCTTTTAGCGACTGACAATGAAGAGTTGTGGAACTTGTAGAAGCCCAAAGGCTTCTAGCAGGGTTGACTCTGGCAGCGAGGGAGAACTCTTGTCACATACCAGTGCTCCCCTTACTCCCACACGACAGCATCCGTTTGGTCTGTCTGCTAAGTCCCTGGTTAGGATCCAGGCAGGGCAGGGCACCTGTACGTGGCTTGAGTGTGTTTCGGTATCTGGTTTGAGGGTGCTTGTTAGATGAGTTGGCTTGGCTCTTTAGCTTGTGCATAGAAATCCTGTCATTCTCATTGTAAATGCTCATACAAAAAACGGTTAGCGGTTTATCTTCATACATACCGGCATCATTGGGCTTTTGTCAACCCAGTAAAGAGCACACACTACCGTACCACCAGCTGCGTGCCCAGGAGACGCGTCCTTAGCCTCTGCCGATTCTATGTATCTTGAGAACATTATCCTCCACCGCACTGATATACCGGTTATTGCATCCACAGCCTACTTTCAGAACCATTTCAAAACGAACCTGGACAGAATGGATACAGGATGAATCTCATAATCAGTGCGAAAGGTAGGTACCTACCACTAACGAGTACGTTCAGATATTATCCATCTTCGTATTGGATATAAGTTTTCAGGGTAAGGACAAAACAACGCTGGTATCGTACAGGGTCAAGAAAATCAGGGCCTCAACGGCACAACAAATACCAGTGACATCAGAGTAAAACGGGACATCAGCTCTGCATGCATGTGCAGCTATAGAGGGGCAGCCACAGGCCCTCGTCTACCATGTCGCCAGGCCCTGCATACTGATCCCCAGGCCGGCGCTTCGCCATTCCGGATGATTGGTGTGAAGTAAGCCAAGTTAACTAGGAAGACAGCAATGACAGTCCCGCTTGCATTAGCGCTACATGCAGCACTATCTACGGTTGACCTAGTATCTATGCCGAGTCCATTCCAATGTGGAAGCTGCTGGAGTTATCGGCGAGAAGCAGCTTCTCCAACATCTCGTATCTAGGAAGCGCGAGAGCGCTTGAAGCAAGGAACTTCTACAATCTACTTGACCGGAATGAGAACATTGTCGATCTCGTAGCAGATGGCCGTGGGGTCCTTGTACAGGATCTTGGTAACATTCGCCAGCTCGTAACCCTGCTGGGCGAACTGAGGGCCAATCGTCACGGCGCCGGGCTTCGCAGACTTGTACTTCTGGATCTGCCTGCCGGCCCCGCTGAAAGTGACGTAGCCCTGGCCGACTGCGTCCTTTGCGAAGCGCTGGGGAGTGGCCTGGAAGTTGAGCATGCCGAACTTGACCAGATCCTGGAGGGTGGCTGGGGTCCTGGCATATGGTTTCTGCGCGGAGAGAAGAACAAGGGCGGAATACGAACACTCGGTGAGAACGGAGAAAGGCATCCCTCCTGGCAAGTTGTCAGCATAGCGAAGTCAATCTAAGGGAACTTGAGCTAAGCGAAGGGCGACGACTGGGCGAACTGGGGACGCGCGTACCAGGGAGGCGGGCTTGGCGGTTCTGAACGCGGCGTTGGGCGGAACGAGGCAGGTATAACCGGTTGTCGACGACGAGAGGTAGTCAGTGATCCACTTCTGCATACCTGCAAGTAACTCGGAAAAACGAAATGAGGAAATTAGTATGCTTTGCCGACTCAGAAACTAGAAGCACAGAAGCCCAGAAGCCAGGATTACACGATCACAAGAAAGACACAAACAGGTGGTGAGGGAATCTTACCTGCTTTTTTCACGATGGAAAGGTAAGTGCTGTATTTTCCAGACTTTTGAAGGGCCTGGGTGATGAGGGTCCACTGGAGTGTGCCGTCGCGGTAGACCTTGGCCTCCGTGGTGAAGCAGGCGCACGACAGAGCCAGTACGAGCACAGCGATGGAAAGGAGTCGAGCCATTTTTGAGAGAAAAGCAAACGCGGACTCGTGCTTGGAGTTCAAGACACTAAACTATGAACCTGGAAGGCGAAAACTTTAGTGAAGACTAAATTCGAAGGCTGAAGGGAACGTGTTTTGAAAAGGGGGCGTAGAAGAGAGGCGGCTGGCTGTGTGCTTTCAAGAATGGGAGCTGGCGGTATTTCTACTCCCTCCTGAAACGAAGTGGTATGAAGTTGCGAGTGACTGCTGTGCTGCTAGGCGTTTCGGTATTCTGGAAGAGCGTGCGAAATCGGTGTCGCGAGGAAAATTCCATACAGAATCGTCGTGTCGCATCCCACAGCGATTCAGACTGGATTGTCGCGCGCCATCTTGAGGGAACGCAAATTCTGAATTTTGCGAGTTTCGCCATTCTGCTTGTTCTGTATGTTCAAATTTCGCGCGCCTGCCCAGTCGAGCCGCCCTCACGGCCCGCTGAAATCCAACCGTTTATGATCTGATAACCCGCGCATTTTTCCTGTCGCTGTTGCTGGTGTTTTCCACAGTGGTAACCACTTGACCACGACGAAAATATTCGAACTTTAGTGCAGAGTTCCACTCCATCCTCTCTAGAAACGCGAGATACATTGTCGTTTTGCTGTAATGGAGGAATACATTTTGTTGGGCAGAGAAATTCACCACCTCATTATGATCCACTGGGTATTAGGTCTCAAACACGAGAGAATGCCCGACAGAAGTTCCCCAGGAGTGGTTCCCTAAGGAATTTTGCTATTTATCTACACAGATCTACGAGTACCACATTATCCAACAAAGGCTTCCGCAGGCTAAACAAGAAGCTGAGGCAAGGCGGCCAGCATGGTCTGCTAGGGTCGTGTGAGTGGCTGAACCTGTAGCCCCCAGCACCACTCTATAAAGTACAATAAAGATACCTAGTGCAGTATGCTGACGTTTGAAACGAGAACAATGAACGGGTACAAGGTAGGGGAGGAGGAGGCTGATGCACTCTTAACGAAAGGCTGCTCATAGAGCATAGTGGGCCAAGCCCTTCTTGAGGTTCTGAGGATCCACAGAGTACGTGAGAATCCTGCCGTCCTGCAGACCCACTAGAATACACTCCTCCGGCGCCACATACAGTGATGTCACCGGCACACCCTGCCCGTCAAACCGAACGATTTCTTCCAGCGTGAAAATCGACCGCACAACCACGCCGCCGAACGAGCTCCCTCCCGTGACCAGGAAATCTCCACACACAGTTGTTGCCATGGCTCCGATTCGCTCGCTCACATCCGCAGAAGCAAGCCATTCGCCGTTGATAGACGCACAGTGCAGCATCAAGTCGGTTTCAGAGTAAGCCACGATGATCCCGGAGGTGGAGACCACTAGGCTGTGCACCGGGCTGCCTCGCGCCGTTTGAGTGGTGCTGCTGCCGCTTTTACTGCCTGCTGCAGAAATGGCACGGGGAGAGCTGACAGGGGAAATGCTGAGCAGCCGACCGCTCGCGCTTGTAGTGAAGGTTTTCTTTGGAGTAGTGCTGCCGGAAGTGTTGCCGCGAAGGGACGACGAGGAGGAAGAGGAGGTGGAGGGGAGAGCGAGGGAGCGCAAGAAGCGGCCGCGGTGGAGAGTGTAGAGGATGATTGTTCCGTCTGTGGATCCACTGACCACGAGATCGAGCTCTGAGCGGACGGCGACGCACGTCACGGCGTCGTCGTGCCCACACAGAACGAGACGAGGCTTGTCGTACACGACGTGCTCCGGCCGGCTGCGGGCGGTTCGCTCGACTTCCCAGACCATGACTGTGGTGTCGGCACTGCCTGTCACGATTGATGTGCCCTGCGCTGATACTGCCGTGGAATGCAGTGGGGAGTGGGGAGGGGGGAGCAGGGAGTGAGAAACGAAGAGCAGGGAGCGGGAGCAGGAGTGGTAAGGGAAGTGGAGATGGGGATACGTTAGCAGGGGGGAGGGAGCGAAGAGCAGGGAGCAGGGAGCAGGGAGCAGGGAGCAGGGAGCAGGGAGCAGGGAGCAGGGAGCAGGGAGCAGGGAGCAGGGAGCAGGGAGCAGGGAGCAGGGAGCAGGGAGCAGGGAGCAGGGAGCAGGGAGCAGGGAGCAGGGAGCAGGGAGCAGGGAGCAGGGAGCAGGGAGCAGGGAGCAGGGAGCAGGGAGCAGGGAGCAGGGAGCAGGGAGCAGGGAGCAGGGAGCAGGGAGCAGGGAGCAGGGAGCAGGGAGCAGGGAGCAGGGAGCAGGGAGCAGGGAGCAGGGAGCAGGGAGCAGGGAGCAGGGAGCAGGGAGCAGGGAGCAGGGAGCAGGGAGCAGGGAGCAGGGAGCAGGGAGCAGGGAGCAGGGAGCAGGGAGCAGGGAGCAGGGAGCGGGGAGTGCAGGTGAGTTTGAAGGGGGGGAAGATGGATGATGTGTTTGCTACACAATGTGTTGGCGTGACAGGGAGACAAAAAGAAATTAAACTGGAGGTGAGAGTATGGAGAATAATAGGTGTGCGGATGGAGGTTAAGGAGGACAGGGTGGGATGGGACAGAAAGGGAGTAACCGAGGAGAGGGAGACACTTGGCTTCACTGAACCACCACCACTACTGCCGTCACACCACCACACCTGCCACAGGCCTTACACTGTCACGCCTTCTCCCTATCCCACTGCCCCACCAGCCCACATCCCACCCCTCCACGCACCAGCGAGGCAGGTAACGACGTCATTGTGAGCGCGAATGGTGCGCACAACCTTCCCATCGGACAGCGACACGCAGCGGAAGCTGTTGTCCCAGTGCCCGCACGTGAGCAGGTACGACGGCGCAGAGGCGGACGCTGCTGAGGGCGGCTGTAGGATGTCAAAGCAGTTGGGCGTGGCCTCCACACTGCTGGCAATAGGCGCTCCTATGCGGCGCAGGAAGATGGAGTCCCCGAAACCGATGTAGGGTTCCTGGTTGGGGGACGAGGGGGGGAGAGAGTTGTAGCAGTGGGATTGGGAGTGGCCTCCACGCTGCTGGCGATGGGCGCTCCTATGCGGCGACCCAGGAAGATGGAATCCCCGAAGCCGATGTAGGGCTCCTGGTTGGGGGGAAGGGAGGGGGGGATGGATAGGAGGATGGGGGAGTGGAATGGGGAGTGGGACGGGGGGCGAAGGGTGGGAGAACGAGACAGACTACAGGACAAGCGCTTTCAGGTGAGAAGCGGTGTATAACAAACTCGGGCAAGTTGAACTAGGGAGGAACGGGCAGAGGGGATAGGGGGAGACATGGTAACAGACAGACACACTAGCAGACATGCTGTCGGTCAGACAAACAGGTAGCAGGCAGATGCACGACATATCCTGAGAACGCGAACGACGCCCCGGATTGTGTGTATAGCAGCATCCAGCAGCGCAGAGTCGTTTCAAAACTCGCAGTCACACTTCTAGACTCACCACAGATCCCGAGAACGTGAAGGAGGCCCCGGATTGTGTGTAGGGCGATATCCAGTAGCGCAGAGACAGCAGCTGACCAGAAGTCAGCGTCACCGCCTTCCCATCCACCAACCCCACAAACACCACCGACACATCCCCCTCCCCAGGCTGTCCTGATCCAGAAGAAGAGAGTGACACACCCAAACCCCCTGCTCCTCCTCCTCCTCCTCCTCCTCCACTCGGGATAGAGGTCAGGGCAGAGGAACCACCAGTGGAGGCAGAACCAGAGGCAGAGGAGGAGGCGGAAGAGGAGGAGGTGAGGATGGGAGGTGGGAGCTGCGAGGTGAGTTCGAGGGACGACGGGGAGAAGAGCAGCGGGCGGAGCACGGGGACGGGGGGCCCGCGGCGCGGGTGCGGCTTGCGGAAGAGCTGCAGCGGCGTCTGGCCGAAATTGGCGATCTGATCCTCCACTGAGGCCCGCTCGAAGGGGTTGGTGATGGCGTCTAGGTCGACAGAGCCCTCGTAGGTCAGGTAGTAGAACACGTTGCCCGCCTGGGGGAGGAGGGAGGAGGGGGGAGAGGGGGAAGGGAGAAAGGAGAGGGGAGAGGGGTGTGGGAGAGAGCGGGAAGGGCGGAGGGTGGATGGCAAGCAAGAGAAGAGCACTCACAACACCACCCTAGCCGCACTCCATCAAAAATACTGGTCCCTGTCCCCGTCCCCATCCCCATCCCCACCCTCACCCCCATCCCCATCCCCAACCCCACTCCCACCCCCCACTAGCCAGCTCACGTCAATGGCTTCCTGGCCGCGCTGGCGGAACCCGAAGATGAGGTCGATCCACTCGTGCAGGCGGCTGCTCACATACTCGCACTCCAGCGCCTCCCTGCACTTGCGCACAAACGTCTCGGGGGAGCCCTGGAGGAAGGGGGGGAAGCGGGTGGAGGGGGAAGAAGCGGATGGCGGAAGGGGGGAGAGCGAGGAGGGAGGGACGGGGAAGATCGAGGGAGGAAAAGGGGAGCGGGCAGCTGCTCATATACTTGCACTCCAGACCCTCCCTGCGCCTCATTTCCCACCTCTTTGCACGATCGCCTACCTTACTAGCCTCCTTTCAACTCTCCTCCCTTCACATCTCCCACTGCACCCCGGCCTCACCTCGCTCCACCTTCTCGCCACATCCTCCGTCCAACTCCCCTCCCCCCTCTCCTCACCTTGGCCCAGGGCGGCAGCACCACATCCCCCAGCGCGTGCCCGTCCTGCCGCACGCCGAGGAAGTATCCGTTCTTGTTGACCAGGAACTCGGGGTGGTAGTAGAACTCGGGGATGAGCTGCTCCCCTCACCATGCCTCTGTCTCTCTCTCTCAAGCTCACGCCCCTCCTCAACCTCGCTCACCCTTCTTGCCTCACCTCGTCCGCTCACCTCCCCCACCTCACCTCCTCCCCCTTCTGCCTCCCTTCTTGCGCTTTTCCTCACCTTGGCCCAGGGCGGCAGCACCACATCCCCCAGCGCGTGCCCGTCCTGCCGCACTCCCAGGAAGTAGCCGTTCTTGTTGACCAGGAACTCGGGGTGATAGTAGAACTCGGGAATGAGCTCCTTGACATCGCTGGTGTTGGAGAGACAGTTGGACCACGCAGAAGCGACGGAATGGAAGAGCCGATCCGCATGGTCGAACTTGCCGCCCTGAGGGGATGGGGAGGAAGGGGAGGGGAAAGGACGCGCAGGGTAGTAGGAGGAGAGGAGGTGGCGGGTTTAAGAGCAGCTGGGGAGAAGGGAGTAGTGAGATGGAATGGAGAGAGGTGAGATGTGAAGTGAGCCAAAGGGACAAAAGGATGCATGGACAGACAGACAGACAGACATGCACATACCTGCAGGGAGACGTTGAGCGTGGCAAAGGGCTCCATGCGGAGCAGGAAGAAGAGCACGATGCCACCCCCCCCCCCACACACACACAGAAACAAACACCAACACACGCGCCCGCACAGAGGCGGGAACAGATATGCACATACCTCCAGGGAGACCTTGAGTGTCGCAAAGGGCTCCATGCAGAGCAGGAAGAAGAGCACGATGTGAGCCATGTGCACCAGCACATGCACCGAAACAAACACAAGCATGTTAAACACACCCACGCACCTGACATGCACACCCACGCACCTGACATGCACAGCCACGCACCTGACATGCACGCCCACGCACCTGCAGGGAGACGTTGAGCGTGGCGAAGGGCTCCATGCGCAGCAGGAAGAAGAGCACGATGCCGGCCGTGGAGTAGTGCGAGCCGTAGAAGAAACTCGGGATGTCCGGATCCGCAAACCCATGGTACCGCTCCTCAAACATCTGGGGGGTGGGGTGCGGTGGAGCGTGGTGGGGTGCGGTGGGGGATGCAGGGGGTGGGTGGGTGGGGTGGGGTGGGGTGGGGTGGGGTGGGGTGGGGTGGGGAGGGTGGGGACGTGATTGGTGGAGGTGAAATCACGGGCTGAGTGAAACAAGGGGACCAATTCGTGGTTTGATAAACTCGTGGCTTGATTGAATCAAGTTTGAACACTTGCCAACACAAGTGATCCTAAGGACCGCTGACCAGTGCGGGTGGGCAGTGTGAAACAGTACCCTCCGTTCCCCTCGCTTCCCCTCCCCTCCCCTCGCTTCCCCTCCCCTCCCCTTGCTTCCCGTCCCCTCCCCTGCTCTCCCCTCCCCTCCCCTGCTCTCCCCTCCCCTCGCTTCCCCTCCCCTCCCCTCCCCTGCTCTCCCCTTCCCTCGCTTCCCTCCCCTCCCCTCCCCTCCCCTCCCCTCCCCTCCCCTCCCCTCCCCTCCCCTCCCCTCCCCTCCCCTCCCCTCCCCTCCCCTCCCCTCCCCTCCCCTCCCCTCCCCTCCCCTCCCCTCCCCTCCCCTCCCCTCCCCTCCCCTCCCCTCCCCTCCCCTCCCCTCCCCTCCTCGCTTCCCTCCCCTCCCCTCCCCTCACCTGGAATCTCTTCTCATCCAGAGCACCAATGGGCTTCGACAGATCCCTGAACGTGTCCGGGTTGGAATCACTTTTCAGAATTCTCAAGAGTGATTTCAATATACCCTCACCTGGAACCGCTTCTCATCCAGAGCACCAATGGGTTTCGACAGGTCCCTGAACGTGTCCGGGTTGTTCAGATCCAGCTCCTCCGAGGCATAATCCGCAATCACCCACGGGAAAACCGGGTACTGCATCAGGTCATTGTACGATCGCCCTGCGAGTGTGTTGAGCACCATCAGATATTCAAAGTTGCACATATCCCTCCTCCTCCACGCCGCCTTGGCCCTCTCAGCCAGATCCAACGCCCTCCGCTTGTCAACCAGTAAAACCCCGTCCCAGATGCTCCCTCCCACGCCCGCGCCCCCACCTCCCCCTCCTGCCCCGCCTCCACCTGAGCTGCTCCTATCCCTGTCTCCACCCCGGTTCCTCTGAATCACATGGGTCAGATTCGCCAGGCGGGTGGCCACATCCTTAGCGTTAACCACCGAGGAGAAGTTGAGGAACACAGGCGCGTAGGACGACGAGAAGAAGATTTCAACCGCAGAGAACCGCAGCAGATACCTCGTGATGTGGATGCGCTTCACAGCAGCCAGCGGCCACCGCCTATGCCGCTTCACATCGTTGTGAAAGTCCACGTTCTTCTGGTTGCTTGTCACCAGCTGCTCCAGCAGCTTTCCGGAGGAGCTTCGAGGGGAGAGAAGAGCCAGCTTTGTGTGCAGCCGCCGCCAGCGAGACGCTGTGCTGGGCGTCGCAGGGACCGACCCGCTGCTGCTGCTCGTGGTGCTGCTGCTCCCCGTGATCATGCCCCCGGTTGGGGTTACAGGCGAGTTGGTCGCTCCGGATCCTCCTCCTGAGCCGATCCCTGTGACAGAAATTGAAAGAGGGGTTTCTGGTACGGCGGGTGCAGGAGCAGTGGTGGCGGAAGCAGCAGAGGAGGAGGCAGAAGAAGGGCCAGATGCCCCGGTTGCTGCTGCAGCAGACGCAGCCGCAGCAGAAGCAGCCGCGGTTGCCGTCGCAGCCGTGTCGTGTCTCAGCTGGCCGTTCTGATCAAACACAGATGCGCTCCCGTTCCCTTCGACGACAAACTCCGTGTGGAAATGCACCACGGTTCGCATGATCTCCAGTCTCCCGGCCAGCTTCCGCTTCGCAGTAACCAGCACGCAGGGCACAGACATCAGCACCACATCATCAGCAGGCTCATCTGTAGACGACATTTCATCACCCAAACCCTCCTCGAATTTGTTCACCTTCGGCGATCCCGCCTCTTCCTGTTCCCTCACCGCTGCTTCTTCCATTGCGTCGTTCTCCACATGAGCTTCCTCTGCAGCCGCTTCTAACTGCGCCTGCACCCCTCTCAACCCCTTCAGCAGCAGCACAGCCTGCTGCGCCGCTGTCTTAGTCGCCGTCAGCGGAGAGTTCAGATACCCACCGCCGGCGAGCGGCGACAGAAGCATGGGCGATGCACCGCCACTATTGGGCGACTTAACAGAAGAGGGAGACGCGAGCGCGGAGGAGGTAGTGGAGGCTGAGGAGGCGGGAGTGCAGAGCACGGGGTTGAAGCGATAGTTGGGGCGCAGGCGGAAGCGGCGGCGGATGGGGTCCTCCATCTTGTCGAGCTTCCAGCGCGCAGGCGCGTCTGTGGGGAGGCGCCCGGGCGACCACGCTCCCCGCTCGTTGGTGAGGTCCCGGAATAGCTGGTTCCACCGCCCCTGGAGTAGGGAGGAGGGATAGTGGGGAAATAGCCGTAGGGGGAAGAGGAGATGGTAAGATGGAGGTGTGCACAAAAGGGGAAGGGGAATAGGTGCCTGGGCGACCACGCTCCCCGCTTGTTCGTGAGATTCCTGAATAGCTGGTTCCACCGACCCTGGAGTAGGGGAGCGGGGGGAGGGGGAGGTAGAGGGGAAACGGGGAAAAGGGAAGAGGGGAAAACAGGGGAGGGGAAGCGGTGGAAAGCGTTTCTAGCAAGAGACAGCACTGCAATTAAGCAAGCAAGAAAGCGAGCATGCAAGCAAGCACACAAGCAAGGGGCACTCACAGCAAGGAACTGTTGCTCCTCCTCGTAGCCCACTCGGACCGTAGCCCGCCTCTTGCTCTCCTCGGTGGTGAGCTCTGTGAGTATGGCGCGCCTGTGCTCCTCCATGGCCTCCAACAGCTCCCTCTCCACCGCCTCCCTCTCCCCCACCTCGCCCCGCAGTGCCTCGGGCGCCTGCATGCGCCGCTCCGCTATCACCTCCACCAACGCCTCCTCCTCCTTCAACTGCCGTTGGGAGGGGACAAGGGGGAGAGAGGGACGGACAAAGGGGTTGGGATTCAACGCAAGCCATGGTTCTTCCCGCCTCTGCTATCACCTCCACCAACGCCGCCTCCTCCTTCAACTGCCGTGGGGAGGGGACAGGGGAGGGGTAGGGAGGGGGACAGGGGAGGGGTAGGGGAGAGGACAGGGGGGGAAAGAGAGGGGAGGAAGGAAAAGGTTGGGGTTAAGTGCAAAACACAACTCCTACGGCCTCTTCTCTCACCTCCACCAGTGCCTCCTTCTCTTTCAACTGAGGGACAAGAAGAGGGCGGGGGTGAAGAGGAGGGAAGAAAGGGTAGGGGGAGTTCCTGCAAAGCATAGTTCTTCCCCCCTCTGCTATCACGTCCCCAACGCCTTCCCCATCACCTCCCCAATCACCACCTCCCCACCTCCCCCGTCACCTTCCCCATTCCACTCACCGCCTCCTGCACTCGATCCTGCTGCAACAGGCTATAAACTGAGAAATCCCCCACGCTGCCCCCACCGCCCGGCCGCCTCTCCGCAATAGAGGCCACGAGCACGGATTTCGCTCTCTCCACCACTTCACGGATCAGCTGTGATGCTATGTGCTGCCTCGCGCCCGCCTCCCTCCCTGCCTCCCGTGCCGCTAGCCGGTCCCGAGCCTGCTGCTCCAGCTTCTCCCGAGCCTGCACCAGAGCCCTGGAGGAGCGGGGTGACAAAAGGGAAAGGAAAAGGGAAAAGGGAAAAGAAAGCAATTAGACCCGACAGAGAGGAGGATCTGGAAAGAAAATGCGTCGAGTGGAGGGAGAGGTGAGAGGGCAGAGAGCAGAAGGGAGCCAGGGGAGCGAGATAGGAAGAGGGGTGGGAGGGGTGAGATAGAGGGTGGAGAGGCGTGCATTGAGTGGCTAAGAAGCTGAGAACTGTGACAAGGCATACGGCACTCATCACCTAGTCTTCCCGTCCAACCATATCCTATCCAGCAGCAGAGCAGCTTACCAGAGGAAGAGGTGCAGGTGGTTTCTAAGAGAGGTGGTATCTGCACACGAGTGCAGCAGCGCGGGCAGAATCAGCGCAAACTGCTGCATGCACTGCGACGTAGCCTCCAACTCCGCATCATACAAATAAAACAGCACCAACCGAAACGCCACGTGCAAACAGTGCTCATTCCGCTGCCTCGTCGCCTTATCCCCCGGCCCCGACGCACCCCTCCCCCCGTCCGCACCCCCCCCAGCCGACCCCACTAAAGCCAGCCCTGTCCTGCTGATTCCAGCTAAGGAGAAATAGCTCATGGCCTGCTGCTGCTGCTGTTCTAGCTGGGACTGGGAATAGGCGGAGGCGGCGGGGTCTTGCGCGCCGGAGAGCACTGAGAAGGAGGCCCACACGCGGTCGAAGAGGCGCCAGCGCGCTGCTGCTTCGTCTGGAGGGAGCTCGGGGCGCTGGTAGCGCTGCTGCGGACGCTGTATGTCAGGGAACGTGCTCCTGAGGGAGGGGACGATGGGGGTTGGAGTGGGGTCAGTGGAAGGGAAGTAGGGGGAAGAAAGGGGGAAGAAAGGGGAAAGTGGGGGAAGAGGCGAAGTAAGGGCGCTGTATGTCAGGGAACATGCTCCTGTGGGGGGGGGAACGAATCGGGGGAAGAGACGAGAGGGAGAGGGGCGGGAGAGGGGGGAGAGAGAGGGGGAGAGGGGAGGGAGAGGAGGGGGAGAGGGGAGGAGAGGCGAAGGTGAGTGGGGAGCAGTGGGGAAAAAAGGGTCACCTGAGCGGTTAAGAGGGTCACCTGAGCGGTTAAGAGGGTCACCTGATCGGTTAAGTGGGTCACTGAGCGGTTAAGTGGGTCACCTGAGCGGTGGCGCATTCCTGGCTTCGTGTCAAGCTGGCTTAGTGTCATCCTAGAACCTTGGAACTCACACGATTGGCCCAAAAATCACAACAAGCCAATCACGTGCGTTCCAAAGTTCTAGGTTGACACCAAATCGTTCTTGGCACGAAGCCAGGAATGCGCCCCAAGAGGGTCACCTGAGTGGTTAAAAGAGTCACCAGAGCGGTTAAAAGAGTCACCTGAGCGGTTGGGAGGATCCAAGGTCCACATAGCCACCTGACAAGGTCTCCTCCTCCTCCATCAACTCATCCTGTTGTCATGGGGCAGATTGGGACACGATAGCACGTGACAGGAAAGGAGCAGACACAAGTGTGAATGACACAGGGTCATGCACATATCGGACAAGTGAGAGGGTGAGAGGTGAGAAGAGGGGGGAGGTTGAGTAGAAGAAGAGGAATTGTTGGAGAAGAAAACTGGCTCGTGAAATAAAACTAGGGGTGTTGGTGAACGAACGAATTGGGGACGAGGGGGGTTGTGAAAGTGGGCAAGGTGGGGTGGGCAGAGTGTGGGGGGAAGGGAGGAGGGAGGGGTGGGTAGGAGGGGAGGAAGGAGTGCACGGAAGGTTGGGTGGTGAAGATGGGGAGATGAGGAAAGGCAGAGGGCAGTTGGTTAAGAGATTATGGACAAGGGTTTGAGACCAGCTGAAAACAATTCCCACTGTTCCCATATGCCAACCCCCCGTGCATCACCGCCAAAACCCGTCCGCACCGCACCCAACCCAGCAACGCCGCACACCACCCAGCAGCACAGCACAAGCCCCACCCATTCCCACCGGACTGCACCACACAGCACCTGGAAGAGCTGGCGGGAGTCGTCAACAGTGCAGTCATCTAGCAGAGTGAGGAGGAGGGAGAAGTTGTCGCGGAGGGGAACGGCGTTCATGGTTTCTTCCGAAGGGCACAGCACACAGAGTGCCTCAAACACGTCTGCTAACACTCGCTTCGTCCACACTGATGCCTGCACGGGACAGGGGAGAGGGACGAGGGAGAGGAGAGGAAGAGGAGAGGGAATGGGGGGAGGAGATGGGGGGAGGAGAAGAGGGGGAGAGAAGAGGAGCAAGGAGGGACACGGGAGGAGTGAGGAGGGGGAGAGGAGGGAGAGAGGAGGGAAACGAAGTGTCAGAGAGGAGAACGAGAGGGGGAAGAGAGGAAAGGGTATAGCATGGGAATGAAGCAGGAGAGGGCAGCGACGCACGAGAGCGAGAAGAGGAGAGCAGATGGTGTAACAAACAACTTTATGCACTTCCAGAAATGCGCCTAAGGATTCGACGCACCTGGTCAGGGCAGAGCAGCTGGATGTAGGTGATGGTGGTGGTGATGTGCTCCGCACCGTTCTTGAGATGAATCAGGGCATGCGCATGCAGGCACGCAAACAGCTGCCAGATCAACTGCTCCTCCTCGCTCTCCCCCTCCATCTCCTCCTCCTCGTCCAGCATCCCCGCCTCATACTCATCCAACTCTAAATCCTCTTCTAGAATCACCCCGGAGTCGTCCCCTTCTCCCCCCATCCCCATCCCGTCCCGCTGCCCGCTCGTAACCGCGAGCAGCACCATCAGCAGCCAGTCCTGCCACCCCACCTGCTGCAGAAACACGCTCATGTTCGAATCATCTGAATCCAGCAGAACAAGTAGATCCCGGAGCACGGCGGTGCGGAGATCAGGCGTGCAGGCGCGGAGCAAGCGCAAGACTACTCGTAAGACCTGGGGGACGACCATGATGGCTACGACCCCGCTGCTGCTCCCCCCTGCTTCTAGCACTGCTGTTCCTGCTGAGTCGCGCAGGCCTTCCTGAAAGCGGCCTAGTCCGCTCTTGTAGAGGTTGGACCACTTGCGCATGGCCTGGTGGGAAGACGGGGGAGGAAGGGGGGAATGGTGAGGGGCAAGGAGAGATAGGAAAACCACAATGAGAAACTCGCACAAAACAGAGCCAGGTCATGCACCATGACTCATGGTGAAGGTCAAACGGTTGAAGAAACGAAGTCTCACAAAAAGGTGATAGAAGCACATGCGGAGGAGGCAACAGGGGGGTTGTGGGGTTGGGGGGTGGGGGGAGATGGGGAGAAGTGGACACACAGAGGAATGCCAAAAGGCTGAACTGGTGCTGACCTCTTTAGAGCTCGCTCCCCCCAGCAGCACGTCAAACAGCGCAGCGCGAGTAGCTGGCGAGAACGGGAACGCAGAGAGCGACGACTCGACATGCGTCCACAGCGTGCGCGCATACGACTCCTCCATGGCCGCCGGTTCCCCCCCTCCCGCACTCTCAAACGCCTCCCTCCCCGTGCTCGACGCCCACGCGTACGCGTCCGCTCCCGACCTCCGATCCGTGGGTGTGGCGCTGAAGATAGTGCCGAGGAGACGGAGACCGAGCAGCCGCACGCCTTCTAGGGAACGGGTCATGAGCGAGAGGAAGATGTGACAGCCTCCGATGGAATGCACGTGGGAGAGGACGGAGGAGAGGCAGGGGGTGCGGCCGAGAAGACCCAGCATGCAGTGTAGCACGTCTTCCATCGCTACTATATCCTTGCTTGTTTCGAGGTACGCCACGACGGCTTTTACTTCCGGGAGGGAGAGCCCGTCGCGAATGACTCGGTCCGCTAGCCCGAGAACGAGCAGGCGCAGCTTCGCGATTTCTGCCGAGCTGGGACGAACAGCGATGACGGAGCGAGTGACGGGGTGCACGAGGGGGCGCGTGCCGATGGCGTGCGGGCCCTGCGCTTTCTCCCAGTAGAACTGCCGGACCATGTCGAGCAGCCGTTGGAGCGTGCAGAAGGCACGGAGGCGCGCTGGCTCTCCTTCCTTCTCTAGCAGGCGCAGGAGGGACGTGTACAGCTCGTGCTGCACTGCGTACGACGTGTAAATCCAGACCATCGGATCGAGATACAGCCGGCAGATGGCATCGACGGTGAGGATCTCAGCGAGGCCTTGATCGGTCCCGCGCTCGTGGGAGATACACCCGACGAGATTCTCCATCGCGAGAACGAACTTCACAGAGAGGTGCTGAGGGGACACGCGCTGCAGGAGGAAGTTTATCACTCCGAACCCGTGCGCGGAGAGCATGTACTGCTGGCTCGTGCGGTTCCCTGCTAGCACCGCCGTGAGTAACCCGATAACGTCCAGGGCTAGATGCGGGTCGACGCCCGCGGGAGGCTCGTCTTTGAAGCGGGAGGAGCGCTGCGGCTGATGCTGGCCCTCCACTGGTTGGTCTAGTTGGGTGAAGAGAGGGAAGAGCACTGCGATGCCTCCGACGCAGTTGATGACGTCCTGCACGCGCTGCCGCGAGCACAGCTGCACGCCTGGCATGATGGCTGCCGTGTCGCAGAGAGGCGCGTCGGAGGGTGCGTCGAGGATGGGCGCCGTGTTGAATATGGTGCGGCCCTGACTCGCCTGGAGGGAGGTGAAGGGGAGAACGGAAGGGCAGGTTGGGAAGGGCAGGTTGGGAAGGAGAAAGGGAAAACGGAAGGGGGAAAGGGGAGGTGAAGGGGGAGAAGGGGAAGCGAGAGAGGGAAGGGGCGTGAGGTGACTGAACATGGGGATGGGTGGTTGGGGGTTGCATGAGGAAACATACAAACACAACCACGGACCCTCTACATACCCACATCCTTCACTGCAGGAGGTTCTAACACTACCAACCAACCACCACTGAACTCACCATGCTACAACTTACCTGTCACACCTTTACAGCAGCACTCACCTGTGCATTGAAGCTCGCGACGATCTTAGCCGACAGCCCATCCTTGGAATCCGACAGAATCTGCGCCGCAGGCCCCTCCTTGGGCAGCCCGGATTCCCCGGGCAGAAACGAATACATGTACCCGGGACCCAGCAGGTAAATCCCCTCCACCTGCGAGGACACTAGCGCGTCCTCAAACAGGTATATGGGGCCGATCTGGCCGCGGAACGCAGCGGAGCGGCGGGGAGGAGGGGGCGCGTGCGTGGGCATGCGGAGGGGGACCACGGGGTCTTCTGGGAGAGGGACCGCTGCGGCTATAGTGCACTCCACTAGTGGGTCGTAGATCTTGGGGTAGCTGCATGGGTGGATGGGTGGACGTGCATGCAAGGGAGGGGAGGGGAGGGGAGACGAGGTGGGTTGAGGGGTTGGGATTTGGAGGGGGACCGCGGCGGCTATGGTGCACCCCACTAGCGGGTCGTAGATCTTGGGGTAGCTGCATGGGTGGATGGGTGGGTGGGTTTGGGGGAAGGGGTGGAGTGGAGTGGGGAGGGGTGGGGAGGGGCGAGAAAGGGTGGGGCCAAGGAAGGAATGGGCGGATTGAGTTGCTTGCACGATTAGAAAGAACGGAAGGAAGAGATGAGACGGGAAGATTATATGATATATGAGGGGCGATACAGGCACCATGCCACCACCATGCCACCACCATGGGCCACCACCATGCCACCACCATGGGCCACCACCATGCCACCACCATGGGCCACCACCATGCCACCACCATGGGCCACCACCATGCCACCACCATGGGCCACCACCATGCCACCACCATGGGCCACCACCATGCCACCACCATGGGCCACCACCATGCCACCACCATGGGCCACCACCATGCCACCACCATGGGCCACCACCATGCCACCACCATGGGCCACCACCATGCCACCACCATGGGCCACCACCATGCCACCACCATGGGCCACCACCATGCCACCACCATGGGCCACCACCATGCCACCACCATGGGCCACCACCATGCCACCACCATGGGCCACCACCATGCCACCACCATGCCACCACCATGGGCCACCACCATGCCACCACCATGGGCCACCACCATGCCACCACCATGGGCCACCACCATGCCATCACCATGGGCCACCACCATGCCACCACCATGGGCCACCACCATGCCACCACCATGCCACCACCATGCCACCACCATGCCACCACCATGGGCCACCACCATGCCACCACCATGGGCCACCACCATGGGCCACCACCATGCCACCACCATGGGCCACCACCATGCCACCACCATCCCATCACCACGCAAACGCCTTGCAAATGCCATGCGAATCCCATGCGGGCGCCATGCAAGACAAATCGTCTCCCTCTCCCCCTCACCCCATGCGGCCGGTCTCGATGAGCTTGCCGTCCACAAAGAGGCGCAGCGTGGCAGCAGTGGCAAAGGTGGCGACAGAGTGAGAGATGGCGATGTGATACCAGCGCTTGGCATGGAAGGGGTAGTTGAATATAAACTCCGGCTCCCTGCCCCCACTGCCCACTGGCACCTGTGGGATGGGAACGAATAGGGACGAGTGGCAGGGGGATGGGAGGAGAGGAGGCAGGGATGGGCACAGGTGTGGGGGACAGGGTGGGGTGAAAGATGGCGACGTGGTACCAGCGCTTGGCATGGAAGGGGTAGTTGAATATAAACTCCGGCTCCCTACCGCCACTGCCCACCGGCACCTGTGAGATGGGAACGAATGGGGACGAGCGGACAAGTGGAGGAAGGAGACAGGAAGCGAAGATTACAATGGAAGACAGGAGGGGGAAGGATAGGGGGGGAGAGGGAGGGGGGGGAGGGGGGGGAAGGGGGGTGGGGGTGGGAGCAGGTTGTGCCGGCAAGCAAGCGGCAAAAAGGGAACGAGAAAGGATGAGGCAGGCACAGCACAGGGGTCAGGTACAAGATGGCAATGTGATAATAAATCAGGTGAATCCAACTCACCCCCGTCATCCGCTCACCCCTCAATCCTTCCCCGCTCGCCATCTCACCATCCGCTCACCTGCACAATGAGACTGGTTGGGCTGATAAGCGCAGTGCACCCCCTTTTAAACTCAGTCATAAACCGGAACAGCCCCATCGCCCCATCATACGGACCATCCGCTGCCCTCCCTCCCGACCCACCTCCCCCTCCCGCCGCCTCTCCCCCACCTCCCGCCAACCCCCCACCCGCTCCCCCCCCAGGCTTCCCCGCTTTCCCCGCATCCCCGCTCGTGCTCGAAACAACCGTGGCCGGAAACGCCTCAACTCGCAGCCAGCAGCAAAACGTGTACCCTCGCGCCGTCGGAAACCGGAACGGCCGTGCCGCGGCATCAATCCCCGAGTTCTTCCCATTCAGCTCGAAAAACACCGGCGGCCCGTCGTCCTTCACGAGCGCCTGCAGCGTGCGGATCAGCAGCGTGGCGTGCCGTGGCCGGCACCCATCCTTGGTGCTTCTCAGCAGCGAGAAGATCGCGCTCATGTCCTTCCCTCCGATGCTGTGCCCTCCGACCGCCTCTAACAACCGGCCGATTTGAGCGAGGGTGTTTTCGTCTTGGACTTCCGGCATCCAGTTGAGGAGAAGCCACATGAGGCCTGCCCGCACGCAGGAGGCGCAGTTGGCAGTGGAGGAGGCGACGAGGCCTTCCAGGGTTTCCAGGCCCTCGCCCACTAGGTGCCCGTCTGCCTTGCGGAGGAGTGAGATGAAGAGCACCACTGCATCCTCGTTCTATTGGTAGCGGATGGTGGGAGCAGGGGGGGAAACGGGGTGGGAGGGAATGAAATTGAGGGGAACAGGGGGCAGACGAGGGGGAATGGGTGGGGAGAGAAGGGGAGGAGCGTTAGACATCGCAAGAGCACCGCCCCATCCTTTTCCCCACCCCATACACCGCAAATGCCATCACAGAAGCAAGAACCTCCCCTTCTGAGAATTCGCAAAATCCCCAATTACCCCCACCCACCTTTCCCAATCTCCCCGTTCTCCCGCTTCCCCCTCCCTCCTCTCTCACCTGAATGAGCATGTTGGTGCGGGGGGCAAAGCTCCCATCCACGACAAAGTCCATCACACACAGCAGCAGCTGCCCGGTCGGCCGGCCCCTGTACTGCTCCAGCAGCATCTGGGACAGCCGCGCATACCCAGGATCGCCCAACCTCCGCATGACGGCCTTGGCTGTGTCGTTCCCGGCGAGCAGGCGGGTGAGTGTGCGGAGGACTTGCAGGGCGAGCTGCTGCCCGTCTGCTGGCTGGTACGTGCCGTTGAGGAGAGAGAGTAGATGTAGCCCGCACTGCGCATCTAGGAACATCTCTTGGAAACGCTGGAGGAGGAGGAGGGGGGGGGGGGGGGGGTTGACCAGTGAGGAGTGTTCTAAAACGTCTCAGAAACAAACCCATGACCACGGAGCATAGCAGGAGGAGCAGAGGGCAGCAGGAGCGGAGAGACGGAGGAGATAGCAGGAAGCAAGCACAGAGGTGGGCGGGTGGGCTCACAGGAGGGTCCAAAACGACCATGTGGCGGAGGGCAGTGAGGAGGTAAGTCTAGACGCATCTCAAAGCAAACCCACCAGCGTGGAGCAGAGAGAAAAAAGCGCAGAGAGATGGAAGCACGCACGGCGCTCACAGGAGGGTCAAGTCAACGATGTTGCGGAGGGCAGTGAGGAGGCCAGCTAGCAAAACAAATTCTTTTGCTAAAAACTGCCGCCACGCGAATCATGGCTCCTGTATGGGGCTCCATTGGACTCACAGGAGGGTCGAACTCGACGATGTGGCGGAGGGCAGTGAGGAGGCCAGCTAGCACGGCGACTCAAGACGCACCTCTTATCATGGAGCAGAGAGCAGGAAGCAAGCACAACAACGGTGGGTGGGCAGTGGGTGGGCTCACAGGAGGGTCAAAGTCGACGATGTGGCGGAGGGCAGTGAGAAGGTCAGCTAGCACGGCAACCCCGTGGGTCTGGCTGTCTCCCTTGGCATGCGCAAAGGCCTCCATTAGCCTCGACACAAACACCGTTCCCTCTCCTGCTGCATCCGGCTCTGATACCTGCCCAGGAGGAGTTAAAGGGAACACGGCCGGGAGAGACGCGGGGTGGGAGTGCTTGAATCGAGTGGAACAACACCCGTGTTTATGTTTAGCACTACAGAGAGGGCTGAATAGAGAGCATCAGGACAAACAAATCAAAAGCGCCACGCATGCACACACGCACCTTGATGAGAGAGATGACAAGGCGCAGGGCCATGGAGCGTGTCTTCTGCTCCACCACGAGCTTGAACACCGTGTCTGCCAGAGCAGCACCTTTTCCAAGCCCACTCGACTCGACCAACAAGCAACGTGCCCCACACACGCACGTGCGCGTGCGCGCGCACACACACACACGTACCTTGATGAGGGAGATGACTAGACGGAGAGCCATGGAGCGTGTCTTCTGCTCCACCACGAGCTTGAACACCGTGTCTGCTAGAGCCACAGTCGACTCAACTGACAAGCAAAGAGCCCCATACGCATGCACGCGCACATGCACACGGCACACATAACACACACACACACATGCACGCGGACACACCTTGATGAGAGAGATGACAAGGCGCAGGGCCATGGAGCGTGTCTTCTGCTCCACCACGAGCTTGAACACCGTGTCTGCCAGAGCAGCGCTGCGCGACGCTGCTCGCACCACGGTGGTGGACGACGCCAGGAGCGCCTCTAACAGAGTGAATATAGCCATGCGCACATTCCACGGCACCTCACTCGGCGCCTTGCTGCTGCTGCTGCTGCTGCTGCCGCCGCCGGTGTCGCTGCTGCTGCTGATGGCGCCGCTGCTGCTGCTGCTGGTGATGGTGGCGTTGGCGTCGCCTGGCCGGCTTCTGTCCGCAGCGCTGGCGCTGCTGCTTCGCTCCACCGCTCCGCCGCCTCCAAATCTCTGCATGCTGCTCCCAGAACCACCACCGGCACCAAACCCACCAGAAGAAGCAGCAGAAGAGCCAGCGACCCCAGTGCCACCCTCGCTGCCTGCCCCTCCTGCTGCGTCCCCTGAACCTTGTGGCATGGAGGGCGGGAGAGGCAGTGCGGAAGAGGAAGAGCCACGTCTAGAGGGGGGGAGGGGGAGCAGCGAGCCTCCTCCTCCTGCTCCTCCAGACCCACTCGCCCCACCACCACCACCAGAAGCTGCACCAGCAGCAGCAGTGCCACCAGCAGCACTTGTCATTCCACCTCCTCCTCCCGAAATCCTTCCTTCAGAGGAATGAGAGCCATGAAGAGGGGATGTGGGGCGGGGAAGGTGGTGGTGGTGATGAGGATGATGCAAACCCCCACCACCACTACTGCTGCCAGACGAAGAGACCGCACTGCCACCACCACCACCACCACCAGCACCAGCACCTCCTATAGGGGCGAAGGAGAATGGGAGGGAGGCGGCTGGAGCAGCGGCGATAGCAGCAGCAGCGGGGCGGTACTGCTGCTGACGTGTCATGATCGCAGCGATGGTGGCGAGCGCATCGACGGCTATGATTGCTTCCACAAAGAGATCGCCCACGATCTGCTGCAGGCGCTGGAAGCAGCGCGCTAGCATGACGCACGCAGAGGCGCAGATCGCAGCTTGCCTCAGTGCTGTCAGCAGCGCTGCACATTCAGGCTGCAGTGACCACAGGTGGAGGGAGAGTGGGAAGGGGGCAGATAAAAGTAATAGGGAGGAAAGCTGGAAGAGATGAGAAACACGGACAAGGGAGAAGGAGAAACTTGAATTCTAGGCAAAATTGAGTTGCTGGAAAACCCAGCCAAAATTGAGGGTTATCCATAGCCAGTTCTGAGATTATCCAAAACCGGGAGGAAGGTTTGAACGTTATCCAAACCCATCAAGAGATACTATGAACAGGTAAACCACTCACCTCCACATTTGTCAACCCATCCAGCGATGCAGCAACTTCCAGGAAAGCCACCACGTTCATCCGCAGCGTCTCAGCCTCCGTACTCTCCCCCACAGCCACATACTCAAGCGCTCCGTCCGCTCCCCCTCCTCCTCCCCCTCCGCCCAAGCCCCCCTCCCCCCCGCCCCTCACATCCAACCCAAACGGGTGCAAGAGAGGGGACAGCATCCTACTACCAGCCACATTCGCAGCGGCCACACCATGCGGATCAACCGCAAAGATAGACGGGGAGTTAGGGCGGGAGGAGGATTTGGTGCCTGAGGAAGGGGGCAGGTTCGGGGAGGCGATGCGGCGAAGTGCCCGTGCAGCTACTGTGCCCACGCCGCCTGCTGCTGCTAGGGCTGCTCCTGTGAACTCCTCAAACTTGCTCGCCTCGTAGCTGCTGGAAGTGCTGGGGGACTTGCGCATGCGCGGACGGCGATCGCCCGCAGTTGCAGGCGCAGCAGCAGCAGCAGAACCACCAGAGGCTGCTGCTGTGGCAGCGGCGGCAGAGGCGGCGGCGATTGCAGCGGCTGCGGCTGCTGCTCCTGCGGATCTGGAAGCGGCGCTGCTGGCGCCGCCGCTGCTGCCGCCAGTGCTGGCGTCGTAAGCAGCAACGGCAGCCGCTGCTGCGGTTTCGAGAGAGGAGGAGCTGGAAGTGCTGGGGGATTTGAACAGACGAGGCCTGGGGCGAGCTGGGACTACCAACCCCCCGTCTGCCTTTCCTGCTCCTCCTGCTGCCCCTGCTGCCCCTGCTGCCCCTGCTGCTCCTCCTGCTCCTCCTGCTCCTCCTGCTCCTCCTGCTCCTCCTGCTCCTCCTGCTCCTGCTCCTGCTCCTGCTGCTGCTCCTCCGCCCTCCAACCCAAAACCTAACACCAGCCCCCCTCCAGTCGACCTCCGCCGCACATGCTTCCCCTTCCCATCCCCTGCCCCCCCTTCCCCGTTCCCAGCCGCCCCACGCCAAGAAAAAGGGTGCGCAAACCCCCCAAACGCACCGCCACCGTGAGTTGGCACGGCGCAATCCGCAACAGTAGTGGAGTCAAAGAAAAAGAATCGATCGGAGAAGAGAGTAGGCCAGGCCCCAGCATCCCTCAGCAGCTGCAGAGCAGACGGCGACTCCCCCAGAACCCTCCTGAGAATCGACAGCACGTGGCATTGGAGCGTACAGGACGTGTTTCGGAAATAGTCCTGCAGTGCTAGGTCGTCCATACTCATCACCTCGCCTGCTCCCCCTCCTGGGCCCGACTTCCCCTCGTGCGGTAACCGGAACGTGTCTAGGAGAGTCTCTACTGCGTATCGCTGCCCCATGCTCCAGTAATCGCCCACTGACTGCCCTCCTCCTCCTCCTCTCGGCGTTCCTGGTTCGTTCCCTGTGCCATCTCTATCCCCTGCTCCTCCTCCCCCTCCTGCTCCTGCTCCTCCCGTTCCTCCTTCTCCCGTTCCCCCTCCTCCCCCGGCCTCCCCCCCTTCTCCTTCTCCCTTTTCCCTGTCCCCGCTCTCCCCTTCCCCGCCCACCCCTACCCCATCCGCAGCCTCCCTAGCCCACCGTCCGTACTTCCCCCACAGGCTCACACCACCCCACTCCGCAATCTGCTCCTCTGTCATATCCCCTTCCAGAAGCAGTGTGCATAACAGCCCACTAGCAGCAGAAACCGCGAGATTCCACGCCCACACCTCCGAATCCCCCACAGACGGCCGGGAGCGCAGCACCCGCACTTCCCGAATCAGCTCCTGCCCTAGCGCCCGCGCAATCATCCACTTCTGCTCCTCCCCCCACACCATCTCCCCCTCGCCCTCATCCTCGTCCTCCCCATCGATCCCGTCGCCGTCCCCGCCCCAATCCCCCCCGTATCCTCCTCCTCCTCCCCCTCCCCCGCCCCCCCCGGCCCCTGCTCTCCCCCTCTTTCTCGCCAATCTCAAAGACCCCACCCGTCGCACATCAATTGTGAGAGTGGAATCGGAGGTGGAGAGGAAGGAGGAGGCGGGGAGAGGGGGCGGAGGCATGAGGGAGCTTTCCGCGGAGGAGGGGAGAGGGGGCGCGGAGAAGGTACGCGCAGCCCACTGCAGCAGGCGGGAGACGCGGGGGAAGAGCGCTAGGGAGTGCAATCGTGCGAGACACGTGGGGGACGCGTAGCTGGCAGGGCGAGGGGCGCGTGGGGGGAGGGGGAGGAGCGGGGAGGGGAGTGGGGAAGAAGGAGAGGTCAGGAAGTGGGAGAGAAAGTATAGGGCCGGAAAGCTAAGTAGTCTCCTGATGCATGAGTGTCTGTCTGTCTGTCTGTGCTGAAATGATGAACATACTGCCCCCAGCAGCACCACATGCACAGGCACCAGTGCACAGGTGTATATGCAGAAGTGTGTATCATATACATCTGTGTATCATATACATCTGTGTATCATATCCATTTGTGTATCATATCCATTTGTGTATCATATCCATTTGTGATACATTTATGTATCATATATATGCAAATGCGAGAGAGAGTAATAAACTTCTCACACACACACACACACACAACACACACACACACACACACGCACACACACACACACACACACACACACACACACACACATACACACACACACATGAACACACACACACATGCACGGCCATCTCACCATGCTTCTCGGATAACCACCAGCGCCAGCAGCTGCACTCCCAAGTGCTCCTCCAATGCGAGCTGATCGCCCTCGGGAATACTGCTCCCCGCAGCAACGCACAGCGACAGCAGCAGAGAGGAGGGGCAGAGCAGGGGAGACGCGGAGGGAAAAATAACCCAGACAGAGACGAAACACACATGAGGAGAGCATGCAAATGTGCAAGCGCACATGCAAGAAATGGGGGGTGCGAGCGACGAGAAATGAAAGGAGGAGCTGTGGGAGGGGAGAGGTGAGAGGAGCTACAAACCTTGCTGGGAGGAGCAGATGAGGTGAATGAAATTGCCGCGGTTGCTATGCTCGCTCACCTGGAGGAAGGCAGTCTCCCCAGCAGTTCCACAAGCAGGGAGTGGCTGCCTTTTGAGAATTCACAAAAATCACTCACAAGGCGGTCTCTCTCCCCAGCAGCAGCTGCACGAGCAGGGACAGGCTGCTGCACTTGCAGAGCGTGCGGTGGGCAGAGCGGCTGAGCCTCTGCGTTTCCACTGTTCCCTTGACCCAAATCTCACCTGGAGGAAGGTGGTCTCCCCAGCAGCAGCTGCACGAGCAGGGACAGGCTGCTGCACTTGCAGAGCGTGCGGTGGGCAGAGCAGAGCGGCTGAGCCTCTGCATTTCCGATGTTCCCTTAACCCAGATCTCACCTGGAGGAAGGCGGCCTTCCCAGCAGCTGCACGAGCAGGGAGAGGCTGCCGCACTTGCAGAGCATGCGGTGAGCAGAGCGGCTGAGCGCTTGCCATTCCAGAGTTCCCTCGCCCAAATCTTACCCGGAGGGGGGCGGCCTCACCAGAAGAACCTACAGCTCTTTCACCTGAATAGAGGCCAGCAGCTACCAAGCTCACCTGGAGGAAGGCGGCCTTCCCAGCAGCTGCACGAGCAGGGAGAGGCTGCCGCAGTTGCAGAGCGTGCGGTGAGCAGAGCGGCTGAGCGCGGACGCTAGGCGAAGCAGCTGCAGGGAGAGCAGCAGCAAAGGGGACGCTGCCCTGTTGCCCCTGTCCTGCTCCACTCGGAATATGTGCAGCAGCTCTGGGGAACACAGGCGCGTGTGGGTGGGGGGTGGGGAGGGGGGAGGGGGGGGGGGGGGAGGGGGGAGGAGAGGAGAGGGGTGGTGGGAGGGGAGGAGGGAAAATGGGGAATCATGAGCGCGGTGGTGAGTCAACATAACAACACGTCCTTTACCCAGTTTCTTTGGTTTTTTCCTCCATTTTTTGTCAGTGTCTGAGGCGGCTCATAACTAGGCGTTGGGGAGGGACAGCGTAAGCGTTCGAGAAGGGGAAGAAAGAGCAAGGGGTATGTACCACCATGTAAGAGCCACATACCAAGCAGTGAGTCAATGCCGTGAAGGTCTACCATCACTTGACTCATCCGCGCACTCCCCTCCTCCACATCCGCACTCCCATCCCCGCCTCCACTGCCCCCACTCCCTCCCCCCCTCCCTCCCGCGCCCCCCATCCCTCCCCCCATATGCCCCCCAATCCCGCCCCCAATCGCCGCAAACAGATTCGGGGCAAAGAGATTTGACTGCTCTGCTGAACTATACTGCTGCTGCTGCTGCCGCCGCTGCTGCTGCTGCCGCCGCTGCTGCTTTTCTCTTAGCAGAGGCCACAACACGAGTCAACTCTGTGTGGAAAATCCCAACCAGGCACGGCAGCAGATGCACCACCACACTCTGCAGAAACCTCTGCTGCCGGCGCAGCTGCATCAGCAACTCCTGGTTACTCGACCCTCCCCCTCCCTCCCCTCCTCCCCCGCTGCCGCTCCCCCTGACCCGCGTGTGGCCGGCTTGGCTTGTCTCATGCGGATCAGAAATCCCGGAGCCGGCTCCCCCCCAGGGGGGGGGTTGGCGGGAAGAGGCGGAGGAAGGGGGGTGGATGGGGGAGAGAAGAGGGTCCGAGGCGGAGGCGTCGGGTGATGGGGGGGAGGAGGTACCGGGGGAGGTGGGGCGGGAGTGGCGCTGCCTGCCTGCTGTTGCCATGCCTTGCACGGATTTGAACTGAGCAACTACGTCTGGACAGGGGGCCGGGGTTAGGAGGGAACAGAGGCAGGAGGGTGGGGGGGTCAGCGGCAGGGAGGGCAGGGGGGTAGGAGAGGACAGGCGCAGGGCAAGGGGCATGGGAACAGGGCTATGTTGCGGAAGACGCGTCTAGCGTCTTAGACGGTTGCGTCTAGACGCAGCGTCTAAGACGCTAGACGCATTTCAGGCCAGATTAGACGCATATTAGACGAAACCCCGGGCAGGCCAAAAAAATAGTACGGGCAGCCTAAAAAACCTTCTATAGGCCATGGGGAGGGGGAGGGGGAATGGGATGAAGACGACCTCTGGGTATAGCAGACGAATTAGGCTGCTGGGACATTCATCGAGATCTAGAACTTCTAGATCTAACATTGACGCTCACAATTTCATACCTCAAATTGGTTGGGTTTTCTAGATTCAGTGCGGTGAAAATCGGTAATGGGAGGGGGAATTGGTTGGTCACGAAATGGTTCACAAATCTGTTGGCTGCGGGGGAAAAATTCCAATTTCGACTTAGCTTTCCGTTTCTCAATTTCTCCCACACCTCCTCCGATGCTTCTTCTAGACCGTCTTTATTTGGCCGGCTCATTGTAGAGCAGAGGCGTGCAACACTTTAGTCCTAGCTGCTGATACTATTATGGGGGGTGGGGCTAACAGCTAGCTTTGGGGGATGTTATCAAGGTCGAAATGGGTGGGAGGGGTTGAAATTTCGCGCGCGCGCGTTTTTTTTTTTCGGGCTGACCGAAAATTTTCCCCCCATGCGTCTAGCGTCTAAAGGTGCGTCTTGCGTCTAGCGTCTAGACGCTGCGTCTAGACGCTAGACGCAGGACGGTCCCTGCGTCTTCCGCAACATAGGAACAGGGACAGGGGGGCATAGGAGACAGGGGCAGAGATGAGCAGTTTTGGAGGGTGGGGAGACGGGGAACGCGGAGGAGGAAAAAGCGCGCAAAATAGAATGGGGAGGAGCGGGAGATGGGAGAGACACGGGGATGGGTGGCTGGATGGGTGGATGCTTGATGCATTGATAAGGAGTATGGTGACTGCAGCGCACACATAGAGTCAACACAAATCCTGACGGCTGGCGGCAGCACGCACCTTTAAATAGGATGGTGAGAGCGGCGTATCCATCGTAGAAGGCAAAGACGAAGCAATGATGTTTTTGAAGTTGATAAAGGGCACGCACCTTTAAATAGGATGGTGAGAGCGGCGTATCCATCGTAGAAGGCAAAGACGCGGCGGTTGTGTGCGGAGCGCAGCGCAATGGTGAGCGCACACAGCAGGTTGAGCACAAAGGCCCGGTCTGACAGGTCATCAGACTCCATCTCTGAGGAAGGGTGTGTGCGGGGCAGAGGGGAAGAGTGTGTGCGGGGCAGAGGGGAAGAGTGTGTGCGGGGCAGAGGGGAAGAGTGTGTGCGGGGCAGAGGGGAAGAGTGTGTGCGGGGCAGAGGGGAAGAGTGTGTGCGGGGCAGAGGGGAAGAGTGTGTGCGGGGCAGAGGGGAAGAGTGTGTGCGGGGCAGAGGGGAAGAGTGTGTGCGGGGCAGAGGGGAAGAGTGTGTGCGGGGCAGAGGGGAAGAGTGTGTGCGGGGCAGAGGGGAAGAGTGTGTGCGGGGCAGAGGGGAAGAGTGTGTGCGGGGCAGAGGGGAAGAGTGTGTGCGGGGCAGAGGGGAAGAGTGTGTGCGGGGCAGAGGGGAAGAGTGTGTGCGGGGCAGAGGGGAAGAGTGTGTGCGGGGCAGAGGGGAAGAGTGTGTGCGGGGCAGAGGGGAAGAGTGTGTGCGGGGCAGAGGGGAAGAGTGTGTGCGGGGCAGAGGGGAAGAGTGTGTGCGGGGCAGAGGGGAAGAGTGTGTGCGGGGCAGAGGGGAAGAGTGTGTGCGGGGCAGAGGGGAAGAGTGTGTGCGGGGCAGAGGGGAAGAGTGTGTGCGGGGCAGAGGGGAAGAGTGTGTGCGGGGCAGAGGGGAAGAGTGTGTGCGGGGCAGAGGGGAAGAGTGTGTGCGGGGCAGAGGGGAAGAGTGTGTGCGGGGCAGAGGGGAAGAGTGTGTGCGGGGCAGAGGGGAAGAGTGTGTGCGGGGCAGAGGGGAAGAGTGTGTGCGGGGCAGAGGGGAAGAGTGTGTGCGGGGCAGAGGGGAAGAGTGTGTGCGGGGCAGAGGGGAAGAGTGTGTGCGGGGCAGAGGGGAAGAGTGTGTGCGGGGCAGAGGGGAAGAGTGTGTGCGGGGCAGAGGGGAAGAGTGTGTGCGGGGCAGAGGGGAAGAGTGTGTGCGGGGCAGAGGGGAAGAGTGTGTGCGGGGCAGAGGGGAAGAGTGTGTGCGGGGCAGAGGGGAAGAGTGTGTGCGGGGCAGAGGGGAAGAGTGTGTGCGGGGCAGAGGGGAAGAGTGTGTGCGGGGCAGAGGGGAAGAGTGTGTGCGGGGCAGAGGGGAAGAGTGTGTGCGGGGCAGAGGGGGAGGGTAGAGCACAGCACGATGGTGAGCGCACACAGCAGGTTCAGCACACAAAGGCACTTGACAACGAACATTGAGGCAAACAAAATATCCGAAATGGCATTCTAGGTTGTGTACACAGCAGGGTTGGGCATAAGGGCACGGCTCTGTTCCAAACCGAACCATTACACATGCCCAAATCAAATCATCACACACAGGCCCCTCGCACCTAGGATGGCCGGAATGGTGTTCTTGATCTCAAACACCATTTGCTGAATTACAGCCGTCGGATGGCCCTGGGCGCACCCCACAATCGTGCCCCTCGCCCCAGCTCCCCCATCTCCGCCACTAGAGCGGAACCCCAGGCGCATGCGCCCCCCATCTCCCCCCTTGCCGCTGCTGGCCTTGTCCCTCTGAGGGGGCTCGGGTTTCCAGTCCTCGTATATCCGTATAAAGGACTCCAGGAAGATTCCGAGAAACCGGAACGAGTCCTGCTTACAGGGAGGTGTGGGGCGGAGTGGGGAGAGGGGCGAGGGGAACGGGGGGACAGGGAAGGGGGGGGTGGGGGGACGGGATTGGGGAGAAGAGGAGAGAGGGGAGGATGGGCGAAGGGGCAAGGGGAAAGGTTTGTGTGGGAGTGTGGGTGTTGTAGGGAAGAAAAGGCTTTGATGGTGCTGTTTTAAAGCAGCAGCTCAATACAAGCTGCGTTACAGACAGCGGATGTGTGGAATGAGCAGACTAGTCCCCTCCCTCTCCTTCTCCGAGACACTCACTCCCCCCAATACACTTCCCCTTGTCCCGTCCTCCGCATATTCTCAATCTTTCACCATTCGCATTCCCGCCTATTCCCCCTCTCCTCCCCCTCCTCCCCCTCCATGCGCAACCCCCTGCGCCACACTCGCATCACGTCACCTTGCGTCTGAGGTGCTTCATAACCAAGCTTGGGGCTTAGGGGTACTCTCAGGGAAATGCTCAGGGGGAACGCTCGGGGGGAACGCTCAGGGGAACGCTCAGGGGAACGCTCAGGGGGGACGCTCAGGGGTTAAGCATGAGGAGGCTCTGATATTGAGGCGCCTTTAGGACGAATATTCCTGCATGCCCGCCGCCTTGTACTCGCTCGTGCCTTATCACTTTCGTTCTAGGGCGCCTCAGAACCACGTTTATAGGCGTTATAAAAGGCGAGCGGCGAGCGTACCTGCATGCCCGCCGCCTTGTACTCGCGCCATATCACTTGCAGCTCCCGCTCGTCGTTGTCGTCGTCACTGCGGCGCAATCATGGGCGGAACGATGGGCGGAACGATGGGCGGAACGATGGGGGACAATGTGGCGGAACGATGGGCGGAACGTAGGGGGACAATGTGGCGGAACGATGGGCGGAACGTATGGGCGGAACGTATGGGCGGAACGTATGGGCGGGAACGTATGGGCGGAACGTATGGGCGGAACGTATGGGCGGAACGTATGGGCGGAACGTATGGCGCGAATGTGGCGGAACAATGAGGCGCAACGATGCGGGGCGAACAATAGGCAACGCGGAAAAGGGAGACGGGGGAAGGCGGAACACAATGGGGAAAAGGGGAGTCGGATGAGCGGGAAGTTGGGCAATCGCGGAATCACACCATCCAGTGAATTCAGAGACAACGGCACAACATCAATAACTAGACCTGTGAATCCAGAATAAGCGAGGGAACGAGGGAGCGAACGAGGGAGGGGGGGAGGGAAGGAGGGAGGGGTACGGCAGACAGACGGACGAGTCCGTCTAAGCTAGCCTCGCGAAAGTATTAGGGCATGGAAGGGAGATGACAATGCATGCCTACGCGGAATCTGCTTAATGCATTCACAAAGGCAACAAATCCAGAAATTCCACAGGTAACAGAGGTGCCAACAAATAGCGCAAGTGGCATTCACAAATAATGCACCCGCAAACACCACCACCCAGCAGCGACGTGACATATTAAACGCGCGCTGTGCTTTGCCGTGTCATGTTGCAGTGTAACGCGCAAAGCACGGCACGAGTTTTGCAAACGTGGCACGCACGCACTCCGAAAACGGTGGTACGGTGGTGATGGTGGTGGTGTCGCTGATAGCACGCTGTGTAATGTCAAACGCACACCGCGCCTGAGAGTTCTAGTCCAGCCCAGCACACCACACGATCGACTACATATGAACGGCACAGGGAAGATATCCCAATCTCCCAGTCGCCGCAACCGGGCGAGACTAGAACGCCGTCGGCAGTACCCTAGGCGACTGTTGGGTTGCCTCGACGGATCCTTCTGGGCTTAACGCGGCAATTCCGGAACTAATAACGCCGTCAGCTGAATCACTCTCCCAGGTGCCTCCCGCCACATTCCGAACCCCCTAGCACGACATTCTACACTCGAACGAATGGTGAATGGTATACTTATCCAGCCCTTACGTGAAACCACCGCGCGCACACACAAGACACACACGCGATAAGAAAGCATCCCGTTCCCATCATCGTCAACAAGCCATGAGGGATTTTGAATTTTCTTTCTTCCTTTCCAAGGAAACCGCTCCTTCCCCATACCTGAACTGTATTTCCGCCCATCGAGCCACAGGCGCAGGTGGGGTGGCGGAAGCGGGGGATCCGGACGGGGCGGTGGGCGCGGAAGACGAGTTGTCCTGCGCGCTCTCCTGCGGAACCGCCGCGCCTCCCCCCCAAGAGGTGCGGAAAATATTCATTGTAACAGGAGAGAAACTCCCAGCTTCATGCGGATATGTTCATAACGAATCATGCGGCCTCCAACCGTGACGAGGTAACGCGATCGGAAGAATCGGGTCGCAACAGATCAAATAACGGTTCGCGTTTCGTGTGGACCGTCGATTCTCGATTCGCCAGGCGACTAGAGGCCCCACGAGACGTGGGTCTCCCTAGCGATCGTCGCTAGTGTAGCCGGAAGATACGGGAAAACCCTAAGCGAATGCAGCTGCTTCTTTCGACAAGTTGCTCCTACCCTACTGCCGAACGTTTCTGGTAGTGATCTTCAAAAAGACGCACGCGGCGATAAAAAGAGAATCAACGCGATAGCGCTCGCGATCTGCTGTGTCCTTGTGTCGATACGTTTGGCCACTGCTGACAAACTGACAAGGACATGGCGTGCTATGCAGGATAAATCGTTAGTTGTGGCGAAGCGATGATGGTAGGAGAAGGGATGTAGATAGAAGTACGAAAATGTCGCTCCTAGGCGTTTCAGCCAAGCACGAAAGAACTGCGATGATAGCGTGAGTAAATGCACGTGGAGAGTGCGGAGGTTTATTTTGCGGCGAAAACGTCTGCTGGGCCGAAAACGTCTGTTGGGCCGAAAACCTGAAGGTGTAACTAACGTAGGAGACTAGGAAATTAGCTCCGTTTCTGGCATCAGTTGAGCTTCCGTACCTTCCGACGCACAAGGAGACTCAAATTTCAAAAGAACCCATCAGTGTGTGATGCGCTCAAAGCGGAGCAGCGGGGAGCGGAGATGGGAGCAAACGAAACATGGAGGTCGGGGACAATGACTGAATTCTCGCAAGTCGTTCTAGAACACTCCACGTTCAAAAATCTGAAGCAGCTTCAGAAAGTTATATATTAAGGTTTGTGGCTGCCAATACCCAGTTTTAGCTTCGTAGGGTGCGTCAAGGCTGTCTTCACGCACAAATCAAAAGAGTGTTGATACAAATGGGGAACCCAGAAGTGAACCCCTTTAGACCTGTGGCGGGGTGCCCTCTTGGCGGAGATCTCGAGGGTGGCCTGACTGCTGACGGTGAGACTCCCAGGGGACTGGCGGAGGCGAGCGCAGAGGGGTGGGAGGCTCCAGAGCGAAGAGCTCCTGGTGACGGAAACCTTCCGCCTGACCACCAGGAACTCATGGGGACGACTGCAGGTTCACGTATGACCGTCAATTCGGACGCCAGAAGCCTTACGGACGGCATGTTTTCAAGCCAGGCAATGGATCGAGAAAGGTGTGGAGGTGTGCTTCCCCCTGGTTGAGAAAAAGTGATTCCCACACCCAGGTCGATAAATCCCTTCGCTACGATCACATGCACTGTGCATCCAGCTGTGTTGTGTGGGCTCATGACGTGGCCCCGCCCACAAGCCGTCAAATCCATCTCCGCTCACTTGCTGCGCTGCGGACTTCCCGCGAGCAAACATTCGGGGCCCTGCGATTCGACTGGACCTTCAGATAGCTCGATACAGTATGGAAGTCACATCACTACTGATGCGACTTGCATCAGGGACTACAACTGGGCGCTGTAGGAGTAGATTCATGAAAAGGGTCAATACAAACTCTCATAACAATCTTTCACACAAGAAGAAAGTCAAGACACACTTGGCTACCAAAAACTGCACATTCACACCAATATTGTCCCTATCCCGCTGTTACACGCTTTAATCTCAAAATTTGGTGCTCATCGTTACAATGAGCTTGCCCTCGGGGAAAATGGGCGATATATACGAGACGACTCCATATCATACCAATGGTATCACCTCAGCAATAGCTTGTGACACACCAGCCATGGAGCCATCAAGTGCCGATAAGAGTTCGAGTGATGTATCGACAAGTGAGCCACCAGCACTGAATGGGAAGAGCTGCGCTACAGCCGTCGAAGCAGGTCCCGAGGCTGTCGCAGCTGCGGCTGCAGCTTCTGCTGCTGCCGTTGCACTTGCCGCTCCCGACGACACCACGGCAGCCGACACTGCCGCTGCTGTAATTTCCGCTCCAGTATCGACCACAACAGCAGAAGCAGCGACATCAGCTGTAGCCAAGCCGAGCACAGCACCATCCGCACCAAGTGCCTGCACTAGCGAAAGCGATTCCATCGCCAGTACTGAATCAATGGCTCCTGAAAGCTCAGCCGTGACCGCAGCTGTTGCAGCGGCGGCCGACGCACCCACTTCCAAAACTGCCTCCACTTCTGCTTCCAGTCCCGCTTCCATTCCTGCCAGCACAACCGAGGACTCCTGGGCTACCCCCTGAAACACCTCCTTTGGAAGCTCCCCAACGATTCTCGGAAGGTTCTCAGCGACAGTCGGAAGCTTCTCAGCAACTTGTGGGATACTCTTGGCAACCGCCTCTGGCATGATGAGCTCCTCTGCCAGGGCTGCTGGATCTAGCGCCAATAGCTGTTCAGTAGCCAGTGTCAGGTGCTCCCCCAACAATGCTGATTGCTCTACCAGCATTTGTTCTCCCAGCATCTGCTCTCTCATGGCCGTCTCAGCCATGCCAGCAGCAGCGGCGCCCAGTTCCGCCTCTGCCTCGACTGCCTGCATTGCCCCTGCTGCAGCCATGGCCGCTGCCCCTGACCCATCCCCTGCTGCTGTTGACGATGACGACGACGACGACGGTGATGATGCTGGTGATGATGATGCTGAGACAGAACTGCTGAGAGAGGGATCTGATACAGGTGACTGTGCGGATGGCTGTGCCTTGGCAGCTGTGGCATGTGGTGTGTCTGCAGAGGGCGATGAGGCAGAGGAGGAGGTGGTCGAAGTGCTGGTGGTTGAAGATGGTCCTGTGCCGCTAGAACCGGGACTGGAGGGGCTCCCAGAACCAGCAGGACTGCCAGTGGTAGGAGCAGGAATAGCAGGAGCGGGAGTGGCTGGAGTGGGGTTAGATGCTGATGCAGGGCCCGGTGATGCTGCAGTGGTGGTGGAGAGAGGCGCAGCAGTGGGCGAGAGGGCAGAAAGAGACGAGCCAGTGCTAAAGGCTGCAGAAGCAGCCACGCCAGCAGAAGAAGCTGAAGGGTCAATCCCTCCTGTTGGCACACTGCTACTGTTGCTGCTGTTACCACTGCCGCTGCTGCTGCTGCTGCCACTGCTGCCGGTATTGCTGCTGGCGTTGCTGCTGCTGCTGCCGGTGACGGTGGCTGGCGTCCCTGTGGCTCCCACTCCATTGTTGAGAGCAGGTAATCCAGAAGAGGTGGCGGTGGCGGTGGTGGTGGTGTTAGTGGTAGCAGAGGCAACGGTGGTGCTCGTGGTGACACTGCTACCAGGGGTGGCAGGCGCTAGGGAGGAATTGGCAGTGGACGGGGAAGTTGGAGTGGTAGAGGAGGAGGGGGAAGGGGTAGATGATGTGGTGGGGGTGGGTGCTGTAGGGTTGGATGCAGCAATGGAAGCAGGGTTGGTGGTAGAGGGGATAGTTGAAGAAGAAGCAAGGGGAAGTGCCATTGAAGTATTGCTGTTGCTATTGCTGCTGCCGCTGCTGTCACTGCTGCTATTGACACTGCTTTTACTGTTACTGTCAGCAGCGTCACCACTGCCATTCTTATTGTTGCTGTTGCTGCTGTTGCTGCTGCTGCTGCTGTTGCTGCTGTTGCTGCTGCTGCTGCTGTTGCTGCTATTGCTGTTGCCAGCGGAGGAGGAAGGAGGAGAGCCGGAGAGTGGCTGGGTTGACTGCGGTGACAAAGGTGTCGAAGGAGGGGGGAATAGGGACGAGCATTGAGCAGAGACGCAGGGAGAGGAGGGAGCAGAGGAGGGGACAGTGGAGATAGCGGAGGGGGCAGAGGAGGACAAGGAAACGGTGGAGGGGAGGGTAGAGGGGGAGGAGAGGAAGGAGAGGGGAGGGGAGGCGGAATTCTGAGCCGAGGTATACACCAGCGGAGTGGTAGTGTGAGCCATGGTGCTGCCGGTGCTGATGGTGCTGCTGGTGGCGCTGGTGGTGGTGGTGGCATAGGTTGAAGCTCCGAGAAGCGGAGAGAGAGAGGGGACGGACAAGGAGGAGAGCGAGAAGGACGGGGAAGGAAGCGAGGGAGGCAGCAGCGACGGCAAGGGCACGGAGGGGAGCGTCGGGAGGGAGGGGAGGGACGGGAGAGGAGGGAAGGACGACGGGAGGGAGAAGTTCGGAGTGGGGAGCGGAGGGAGGGGGATCGATGGGAGGGAGAGGGAGGGGAGGGAGAGGGAGGGAAGAGAGATGACGAGTGTCTTGTGGACACCGAGGCCAAGGTTGACTTGGAGCTCCACCAGCACTCGCTTCGCCTGCACGGCATAGCATGGGTACTTGAGCTGCGACGTCACCAGCGCCACTGATATCTGCTCCCTCATCTGCCCCTTGCTGCCGCTGCCGCCTCCGCCATCGCTGCTGCTGCTGCTGCTGTTCTCTCCGCCCTTTCCCATTTCCTCTCCAGGTTCACTCGCGCCCACCTCCCCTATCTTCCCCATCTCAACCTCTCCAACCGTCCCCAGGATCTCCGCCTGGTATTTCCTCTGCTTCCGCCGCCCTGCTTTCGCCCCTTTTCCCCTTTCCGCCCTCTCCGCGCTTTCCGCCCATCCCATTCTCTCCGCCTGCTGCGCGGCTTCCGCGTCGCCCAGCACCCGCCATCGAATGCGCCCGTTTGCCAATGCACCCGCTCGTTGCTGTCCCGCGCCCGCTGCGACTCCTGCCTGTGCGACTCCTGCCTGTGCGACTCCTGCCTGTGCGACTGCTGCCTGTGCGACTGCTGCCTCGGCGACTCCTGCCTGTGCGACCGCTTCCTGCGACATTCCCTCTCTCCTGCGCCTTTCCTCGTCCCTCTCCCGTTCCTTCTCCCTCTCCCCTTCCACCAGCAGCCAATGCGCGAGCGCGCTCACCCCCACAATCATCGCTCCCCCCGTTGCCACTGAAACCCCAGGCGCCTCGCCCCTCACCGCAAACGAAAACAGCGCGCCCCAAACGGGTATGGAAGTGTACACCAGCATCGCTATAGAAGCCGGAACGCGCCTTAATCCGCATAGTTCCAACCACACGCACAGCCCCGAGCCTACCGCGCCTCCGTACACCAGCGGGAGCCACGGGATGGCTTTAATCTCCTCCGCGAGCCGCAATACGCCGTGGAGGCCGCCGCCTGCCACGTGTACTGCTTCCCAGCCGACCCCGAGCAGCGCGAGCGACCCGGCCTGCACGGCGGAGAGGCGCAGCGGGTCGAAGCGCGTGGTGAGCGCTTCGGAGCGGAAGATCTGCACGGCGGCGAGGAGCGACCCGAGGATCGAGCTCAGGTCGAAGCTCCGCGCAAGGGAGAGGAGCGCGCCCGGCGCGCCGGTGTCGGAGTCGGCTCCGCCGCTGCCGGGGAGGAGGAGGAGGAGGAGAGAGTGCGCGTGGTGGTACTCTCCCAGTAGCCCCATGCCGAGTAATGCGGCGACGACCGCGAGGAGCGTGGAGCGGTGGAGCGCGCGCCCGGACGAGAGCTCCATGAGCGGGAGGAAACAGATCTGCGCGCGCGGAGGAGCGGAGACGGGGGAAAAGGGGGAAGGGATGGGGGAGAGGAGCGAAGGGGGAAGGGAGGGTGCGAAAACGCGAAGGGCGGGATATGCGGTGAAAACAAAAGAGGCAAAGGGGACAAAGAGGAGGAAGCACAGAGGGAGCTAGCCATGGAACTAGTAGGCGCAGGCGGAAGGAAGCGGCGGAGGCGGGAGGAAGCGACTTACGGAGAAGGCGTAGAGCAGAGCGGCGGTGGTGCCGTTGGTGTTGCTCGCGTGTTGCAGCAGCAGCGTGCCCAGGAAACTCCATCCCGCCAGCTCCATCCCCCCTAGTATCACTCCTTCCTCCCGCCACCACTCGCCTTCCCGCCTGCTGTTCGTTCCCTCCAGCGCACCCTCTTCCGCGCGCCCTTCCTTCCCGCGCACCCCCGTCTCGTCCGCCGTTGCTCCGCCTGCAGCCGGGTTCCCCGCTCCAGCTCCGCCGTTTCGCGGAACCCCCGCCGTTTCCCCGCGGTTCCGCGCGTTCCGCTCCGACAGGATGGCGAAGATGACGGGGGAGAAGACGACGGCCGCCGCGGTGAACCTGACGGCGGCCGTCAGAGATGACGGCAGCGACACGGGCTGGTCGTCAACGAGCTTGGCGGCAACGGTGCTCGTGCCATAAAGCGCCGCGAGCACGTTCAGCAGGAAAACCCCTGCCGCCGCACTTCCCGCCGCAGCTGCCGCCGTGGCGCCCCATTCCCCCAACAGCTTCCGCCACCAGCCCCGCCATTGCGTCATCTCCCCGCGCCATTCCTGCAAACGCCCCCGCCACACCCCCTCCCCGCGTCCCTGGACTGTAGGCGGGGCCGAAACAGAAGAGCCAAATCGCGACCAATCCCAATGCTGGTAGTCCCACGAGTCATCCCGCCTGGCGTTACTTCCGACGGTTGGAGCGCTCGCGGCGGCTCGAAAGCCGACCAGAAACTGCCACCACCATAGCGAACCGATCCCAAGCGCGGTTCGGCGGTGCCCTGCCGAATCTTGAGAAGCGGCAGCGGCGAAGCCGGCGGCAGCAGACGGAGAGGCGACCGGCCCGGGGCCGTCGAATCCGATCAATCCCGTCAGCGCATTGAAGCCCTGTAATGACTGTGAGGAGGCCGCGGTAGAATCTGATTCGTCCGTCCAGGAATCCCAGCCGTCGGATGTGTCGGCGACGACAGCCTTCCAGATCAGCGCTTCGACGGCCGTGCTGCTGCTAGGCGACCACGCGCCGCGATCCCCGCCGCGATCCCCGCCGCTTGTTCCTGCCCGACCCTCCATCGGCATACCCCACTGGCAGTCACTGCTACTGCTGATAGTAGCCGCGTCGCCACTGAGCACTGTGCCATGCTTGACAACGTTGCTGATTCTGCGCGAGGTCCGCTTGCCCCTTGCCGCGGGGCCTCCCCCTCCTCCTCCGCCTCCCCCTCCTCCTCTCCCTCCCCCTCCGCCTCCCCCCGCACCTCCTGCGCCGATGGCGGCAGGTACGAAGCTTTTTTCTTCGTGCGTGGGAGCAGAAGGAGATGCTGTAGGTGCTGCGACCTGGCTGCGGCGCGAAACTCCGGTTCTCCGGGATCTACGGCTGGGAAGGTCCGGGGCTTGAGATCCGACGGCAGGGAAGGCACGACGGCGTGTGGATCGGCGTGGGGTGCGCGTGAAGGAAGAGGTTCCAGGAGATTGAGGGACTCTACGAAACGGAGACGACGACCCGGGCGCTGGCGTTGACGCTGACGTTGACGCTAACGATGACGCTAAAGATGACGATGACGCTGCTGCTACTGGCGACACCGACATAACGCGGCTGAGCTCCCTTCCATGAATGCCATCCAGCTGAGAGCGGCCGCGTTTCGAATCAAGCCCAAGGACTCTTAGACCGCTGAAGCGTTGTCGGTGGAAAAGTGGAAAACGCCTCACATTCGGTGATCCTGCCAGGTGAATCCCAAGCTGCTGCTGCGTAGGCAGATGACGAGAGTGTCTTATCTCGTCGGTAGGGCCAACTCCGCGGTTTTTTCTGGGAAATCTATCTGTGTCAAGAGCGGTTGACGAGAGGCGTTGCCGAGACAGCTGAAGGGGACTCGTACGGCCTGCGCTTAGCGGTTGCTGGTGGAGCGGTAGTGATGACGAGGTATGGAGGGCGGTGACTGCTGGAATCTGGTGCGTGAAGTACATCGTTGCGGTGGTAGCGGCGTTCATCGCGAGAGGCTTGCTTGGTGCGTGTTAATCTTCTCATAAATTCGGAATCTCATCAAGACAAGTTAGCTGTTTCTCAATTAGCTCTTCGTACTAGTGGCTGCTTCGATGTGTGATCTTCCCACAGCGGCTGCGACATAACGTTCTGCCGAATTCACCTTCGCACAGAGACATCCGGCACTGGAGAAGGAAACAGGCGTCTCGTTGGCGAGGGTCGGGAGTCTACGATTGGGGAGTCGAGGCTAAGAGACAGTTGAGGGCGTTGACCAAGATGAAATGAATTATATAGATGTCTAATGAGCCGACGATTAATATGTACAACTTCGAGAGGACCTTTACCCGTGAATCGCTGACGCAGGTGACGGCCAATGAGAGAATCTGATGCACGCATTTTGGATGCTCATGTGTTTGCACAAGCTAGTCAGGCCTCTATGAGAGATGGGAATTAGTAACAGAATGGCGAACAGCTGAGGCGGCAGAACGGCGAGACACGAACTCCAGCTTGACCAGATCAAGCTACTGTACCCCAGCGGCTAGCGGCAAACATGTTCCTCGCTGCCTGTCGACAGCAGTGGGTGTGACGCGGGTGAATGGATTCACTCGTCATCGCTTGGGAGGATCGCCGAAAAGCAAGCAGCAGCGGGGCGAGGCGAGCAGCCTCAATTCAGAATTCCGTCATCAAATTTTTGCTGCTGCGGCGGCAGGTTGGATTTCGCGCAGCCGAGATTCACACATGAATCCCTGCCAAGCCAAACTACGGCACGGACCTGACGTCAGCCTCTGATCGCCTCACCTTCCAATCAAGATCGAGGAGCTGGCCGCCGAAAGCGGTGATGATTCTGAATCAGAGGGCCTGTTGGGTTCAACACACGCACTCGTGACGTGAATTTGTCAGAAGTTGGATTCGGGCAGCCGAAAATGTATCAACAGCTGCCGGGCATGCTCGTGCGGCTGTAGTTTATTGCGATGGGTTCTGGAATCAGGAATCTACGGTAGATGTTAGCCCAGACAGACTGCAGCGTTGTTGTGAGGATCGAGAATGTCAGGTGTGGTCCATGCGAACAAGGACTCGGTGGCCACATGGTCACAACCCACCATCACATCCTCCTGCCGACGGGAGTTCCCTCGCCTCGGATGACATGGCGGTGACGCCACCCAGCTGACGGTATGGCTCTGCGGCCCTACGGTTAGGCGCCGCTTCCACCGCTTCGAGATGCAACGCTGAGGAACCACGTGATCAGAAAGTTCACAACTGTGCTGCTTCGTACACCAGAACAGCCAATCAGCTGGGTTCGGGATTTGAACTCGCCGCGATTCCCGCAACATCTATATCAACACTCTGTGCGCGCAATCACAGCCTTAGTTTGCGGTTGGAGTCAGCCTGCACCTTTTGGAGAGGAGCCGCTACTTACCATAGGCGAAGCCTAAAATAGAGGAATAACTCATACAGTTACTTGTAATGTAATATTTTTGAAGTAACTCACAATGCGCTTCTCATCATTAACATCGTTCAAAAAATTCATGTATAAGGAAACACTTAAAAATTATAGACCTAGAAAACTTTTGATTGGAGGGATCCACCCCAACACCTGGTACGGTATGTCCCCCAAACTATTGCAAGTCGCACGTCTGGCTCGAGGTTGCACACACCTGGTGTGCCCCAGCATGGTGTGGTGCTCTGGGTCTGCATCATCTGCAAGACATCATCAGATTGTAAGTGGAGCAGCATGATGATCACATTTGATGTTGTAAAGAAAGGCCGAGCTATATGGTATGAAGTCTGTTTGAGATGAAGCTTCCATTCTAACTGTACCACACTCGACCGCCAACAACCTTTTTCACCTCCCCCAGCCATCCATGTAAGCACGCGGGATCATCTAGTTGCCATGTGGCACGATCGCCGCACAGTAATGTCGAGTCCCCGTTTTTCAAACCTGCCAGCCGCAAAAATCGAACAGGCCACACTTCACGACTTGCCCACGAGCCCACGTTGCGAGCCGCAAGCGCATGAGGCTGACCTGGAACACAGGTGCAACCACACAGTAAAAACCTGCCTCAACAAAAGCATAATTAATTTTGATTACCCTGCCATTTGTCTGAGCGAGATTATGTTACTCTCCATATTATCTCACAGCTTCGCAATTTGTTCGCTGGGTTAAACAAAAGTACTGGCGATTTGGTGACAGGAATAAATATGTATTGTAACTTTTCGGGCCGTCATGTCACACACTCACAATTCGCGAGAGCGAGCTGTTTTAGGAATTCCCCGTTGACAGGTCTACCCTGTCCAGTTGGCCTTACCCTGGCTGAACCAAATCGCACGCCCGAGCCGCTTCCAACATTTTGAATCGCGACTCGATGTCGGAATTGCGCGCACCGACCCGATCTCGTCTCCATCTTACTTTGCACCATAAAATGGCTCTCGACATTTCTCAAACCATTCCAGTTCAAGAGCCTGCACAACTCACACCCCGATCTTGCTCAATAGACACACCGCCACCACCTGTCCCATTTCCACAACTTCTATCCTTTGATTTCCCGCAAACGCCATGAAGTTTCTGACTTTCGCAATCTACCTTGTCGTCGCCATATCACTCCTTCTGCTCGTCACTCCTTCGCCAGCAGATGCGCGACCATTCGCAACGGTCCAGGAAACCCTGGACGAGGTCGCAGCAAGGCTTCGTCAAGAGGCCGATGCTGCCTGGGCCGAGCTCGAAGCAGCGGAGGAGCTCGCAATGACGCGCGCCGACGAAGAAGCCGCTGCTAACGCCACCGTTGAATCCGCCAAAGCGGTCGCTCAGGCGGCGAACGCGGCGTTTGCTGCGGCGAAGGCTAACGCTGCGAACAACAAGACCGCGGCAGAAGCGGCCAAGAAGACGGTCAACACCCTTAAGAAAACAGTCGCGGGGATTCAGAAGAAGGCGGAAGGCAAGAAAGCGTACGAGAAAGCGCAGGAAGAACTGAAGAAGGCGGAAGAGAAGGCCGCGCAGGCCAAGACGAAAAAGGAGAAGGCGCTCGCGGCGGCGGCGGCCCAGCAGAGAGCGGCAGATGACGCGACGAAAGCGGCGGGCAGCGCCAAGGGAAAGGACGCTTCGAAGGCAAAGGAGAAGGCGAAGGGCGAGCAGAAGAAGGCTGATGAGATGAAGAAGAGCGCGGACGGCGCGGCGGCGGAAGAGGCGGCGGCCAAGGCGGAGGCGGACAAAGCGAGGGCGACCGTGGCGAAGACACCGAACCCGACGCTCACGCCGGAGGAGCAGGCGGCGCTCGATAAGTACAGCGCCGCGGTCGCCGCCGCGGATAAGGCGGAGGCGGACGCAAAGACCGCGGAAGCGGAGCTGAAGGCGGCGGAAAAAGCTGTGGTTTCCGCCAAGGCTGCGCTTTATAAGGCGAAGGCGGCGCTGACCTCCGCGACGGCGCGCAGGGTGGAGGCGGACAAGATAGTGGAGATTAAGAAGGCTGCGGCGGAAGCGGCGGAAGATGCGGCGGTTGCTGCGGAGGAGAAGGCCAGGGACGCGGGCGCGCCAGGCTCGGAGGGTGCGCCAGGCTCGGAGGCTGCTCCTGGCTCCGAGGCTGCGCCAGGTTCGGACGCGGCACCAGGTTCGGAAGCTGCGGTGCTGCCGTAATAGAATGGGATGAGGCCTGGTGATGAGTGGTGCAATTTTGCGCATGCAGGAGTTGGTAGGTGGGAGCCATGTAGTGAGGAGTTCATCCTTAAGCATACATGCTTGTAGCGGTTACAGGGTTTAGACCTGTCACTGTGATACATGTCATAGCTTGTTTGCTGAATAAACATGGCGCCCATGCCTGGTTTTCTGACGAGATCTGTAGCTCATGTACGGTAGACATGTTTGCTCAGATGCTCAGATTCTCAGATGGTACACTGCCCAATGCACGTGGAAGTCTTATCAATAGCACTGCTGAGCTGACTATCGTTAGGAAATACTGTATCCCGTTACTATCACAGGACCCCAGCTCAATGAAAGAACTTTGCATTATTGGCCTGCTATAACAGACGCCTTGACACTGATTTCTAGTCTACATATCATGTCTCAAGCCAATCAGAACGGGCAATTCTCATAACGGGCATGCATACGCACATGCTTGATGCAGGCACAAGCATAAACTGGATGCAAGCATGAGAACAGATCATGTGCTACACCGGCAGTTCCTGCAGCAGGTACAGGGCCAGCATCCACCAGCCATTCATCCTGTTTCGAGGCGTCTCAAGACTTCCATCCCACCCGCAGCAACCCTTGCAGCAGGTACGTACAAAACTCTTGAGGCATCTTACAACCCAGACACTTCAAACCCAAGTATCCATCACACCCGGACCCCCTGCAGCAGGTACAGGGCCAACATCCACCAGCCATCGCCATGAAGTAAGACCCTTTCTCAGGCGCCTCAAACGGCGAAATTATGCAAGAATATGCACGGATACTACGTCACACCCGCAGCCCCTGCAGCAGGTACAGCGCCAGCATCCACCGGCCATCCCCAAACCGCCCGCCCTCCTCCCCTCGCTTCACTATCCCCTCCAGCACCTCCTCTATCCCAGCTCCCACCATCACCGCATGGTTCTCCTCATCGCTCCCCAGCGCATACAGCACACCCAGAGCAGCACGCTGACACGCCACCGACGGCCTCCCCATCTTGCTCCCCCTGCTCTCCCTGCTCCCACTACTCTCCCTGCTGCTGCTGCTGCCGCTGCCGCTGCTGCTGGGTTTCTGTCGAAGGACCTCGACCAAAGGGAAGATCGCACCTGCCCGAGCCATAGCCTGGAGATACCCTGGGTTACCTGTGAGGGCTAGGTCAAGTAATCGCACTGCCGCTCTCTCCCTCCTCTCGGCCCGAGGTAGCAACGCACTGGATCGAAGCAGCGGCGGCGGCGGTGGTGGGGAAAGAGCCCCACCCGGGAGAGGAAGCAGCGTGGGATGAATCTCCATTCCGCTCCACACCTCCTCTCCAACCACTCCCTCCTCTTCCTCCCCTCCCCACGCTGCTCCTCCTCCTCCCTCCGCCTGCCCTCCGCTCTCTCCTCTCCCTCCTAGATCTTCCACCAGGTGTGGAATCAAATCAAAGGTGGTAACGGCAACTTCGGCATCAGCAGCAACGTCAGTGATCACTAACAGAGCCTCGGACACCTTGTCTTTCACCTGGAGCGGTGCAGAGGACTGCAGAACGGTTTTGAGGCAGGCGACCAGGCGGGAATCGGCGAGAACGGCTCGGGCTGAGCCCCTGCTGTGGAGGCGAGGCGGCGAGCAAGGAGAGCTGCTGCTGCCTGCGCTGCCCATAGGTCTGCTTCGGCTTCTGCTGAGAGAGGAGAAGAGGATGATGCTGAGGATAGTGCGCGGATGGGGTCTGGGTCTGGAGGGGTGGGAGGTGGAAGAGGGACGGGGGGAATCGAAAAGAAGAAGACGTGGGGGAAAAGGGAGGGGGTTTTAAGTTGGGGAAAAGGGTGTCGTGGGGAAGACAAGGGAGGTGGATGCGGGGTGGGGGGAGGACGAGCGAGGAGAGCTGCTGCTGCCTGCGCTGCCCACAGGTCTGCTTCGGCCTCTGCTGAGAGAGGCGAGGAGGATAGACGCTGAGGATAGTGCACGGATGGGGTCTGGGTCTGGAGGGGTGGAGAGGGAAAAGACAAGGGAAACCGGTGGGGGAAGAGAGAGGGGTTGAAGAAGATGGGAAGGGTGTTGGTGTGAGAGGGTCCAGTGGCTAGATGGGATTTTTGAGATGTCAAGGTGAGTGAGATACGGAAGCCAAGGGGAGGCTGTCAGTTTGATCCTCACTCTCCTTCCTCCCCACGCCTAGAACAGCCTTCACTCCCACTCAGCTAACTCACTCACTCACTCGCTCAAGCACTCGTAATGACCCAGCTGAAGCCTAAACCCTTTACTCTTTCCTTTCCTTGACTTCCGTAAGGCTCCCTTCCCTACACTCCCCTCCAACCTACCTGCATTTCAGCCCCACCCCACATACTTTCTGGCCCCACCCTTCCGGCCCCATCCAACGTACCTTTCGGTTCTGCCAGCAGCAGGACACTCTCCAAAGCAGCCACCACTCCAGCCGCCATCAGCGCCACCACATGCGCTTCCCCACCACCACCCAACCCCTGTGCGGGTCGGTCCGCAATCACATTACCCAGAATCTCCGCAGCAATAGCGCGCTCTTTGAGAGGCCCAATGGCGAGGAGGGCGACGAGGGGAGGCACGCCCCCTGCTGCCACAATGCTCTCACACGGCGTGCCCACCAGGGACGAGATCTGGAGTAGGAGGGATTCTGCTGCTGCCCTCCCGTCTGCTCTTGCTGCTGGGTCGCTGGGTGGTGGTGGTGGTGCTGCGGCTGTTTGTGGTGGTTGTGTTGGTGGTGGTGCTGCTGCTGCCGTTGCTGCTGCTCCTTCTGGTCTTCCTGCTGCTGCTTCTCCTGCCTCTGCGGCCTCTCTGCCAGCCAGCGCGTCCTCTTCCCTTAGCAGAGAGATGAATGACGGTATGGCGGATGCCTGAATGACAGGAGGGAGGAGGGGGAGGGGAAACGGGAGAAAGGGGAGGAGAAGGAAGAAGAAGGGGGCGAAGGGAGGAGGATGAAAGCATTTGGCCAGGGTGAGGAGAGGATGGGGACAAGGGTAGGAGAAACGCTAGGCTTGAAGGGAAGGATTAGGAGATGAGTGCGTAACTGGGTGGAAAGATGAGGGATGGACACCCACCATTTTGGCGGCTGCTTCTTCATCTGATACCATGCGAAGGAGCGCGGACACCACCTGATAAGGGACGACAGGCAGGGGGGTATTGGGACAGGCAACCGGCCGGCACGAGCAGTCATGATGAGGCACTTACACTCGAGCAGTCAGGAACATGCATGGACAGGCAGGAACATCACTGAAACTTCAAAAGAAACAAGGGTCCATGATGGTTACAAACGCCACCCATTGCACTGCAGATCAATACTGTGGCTTCAACTCTCTTCTCTTCTGCCAATAAACCTCTTTTCCCGTCCCTCCCTCCTTCCCTCCCTCCCTCCCTTCAACCACCCCCCACCCTTCTTCCCCTCCAAGCACGACTTCTCCCAAAGACCTTTGCCCTCACCCCGTCTCCCCCTCAACATGCCCATCAACGTCAGCCGCCCTCCCCCTCCCCCTATCCCCTCCAAGCCTTTCCCCCCAGCAGTACCTTGTCCCGCACGTCCCTGTCGCCCCCCTGTGCTGCTAGCAGCGCCACCAGCGCACCGACCCCCCCACTGCGGATGATAGACAGACGCACACTTGCGCTGGAATGGGAGAAGGGGAGGGAGTGGAGGGGAAAAAGGGTGGAAGGGGAGGGGAAGGGAGCGACAGGGAAGGGAGGGGAGGGGAGAAGAGAGGAGGGAAGGGGAGCGAAGCGAAGGGGCGTGGAACGGATAGGGAAGGGACAAAAGGATGATCCACAGGTTTGCAAGAAAAAAAACCCATTTCCTGGCACCGCAGCAAAAAAGTTTCAAGTCATACTCCCAGACCAGGGAAAGACCAAAGGCAGCAACAAACCCGCCCACCCGCTCACCGACCCACCTGGCGAACCACCCGTCCGTCCGCTCAACTGTTCCCCTGCGCACCTGCCCGCCCTCCCACCCACCCTCACCTGACGCTAAGCTTCTCAACAGCAGCGACAGCAGCAGCCCTGACAGCAGCACCACCAGCGCCCATCCAAAGCACCGCATGCACCACAGCTTAGGCATCTCTTAGCGCGCGCCTGTTGCGTTGCTCTCACCCACCCACCCACCCACCCACCCACCCTCACCTGACGCTAAGCCTCTCAACAGCAGCGACAGCAGCAGCCCTGACAGAGGCACCCCCAGCGCCCATCCACCGCACCGCGTGCACCACGGCCCCCGCATCTCTCAGCGCGCGCCTGTTGCCCTCCCCCGCTCGCGCCAGCTCTGCTGCTGCTGCCAGCGCTCGCGCTGCCACCTGCTCGTTCTCGAGAGTCATGAGCAGAACGAGACGCGCCACGCCGTCCCACCGGGACATGAGCGTGTAGCTCTTGCCCGACCAGGCCGGCTCTTCCTCTGCTTCTCTTCCACGATGGGCGTGTAGATCCTCTTTTTTTTCTTTCTCCTCCTTTTCTTTCTTCTCCTTCTCCTTCTTTTCCTCCTTCTTCTTCTCCCTTTCCGCCTTTACCTTCTCCGTTTCATCCTCCTTCTCCTTCTCCTCCTTCTCCTTTTCCTCCTTCTTCTCTTTCTCCAGCAATCCAATACGAGCTAGAAACTGCTGCCTCGTGCGTCCCTCTAGCTCCCTAATCGCCTCTTCATCCAACTCTCCCCCTCCCACCCCCAACCCCGCTCCCTTTCCTCCTCCCCCCTCCCCCGACCCTCCACCATTCCCCCCCAAAGCCAACCCTAACAACAGCTTCCCAGCACCAAACGTACTCTCCACAGGAGCTCCCTTCAGCACCTCTCCAGCCGCAGCAGCAAGCCGCGGCGGCAGCGACGGCGGCACGCGCGTAACCTTCACCGTCTCCCCTTCACTAGTCAGCGACCGGTACGCATCGGCTCCCACCAACGGGACCAGACACAGGTCGTTTTCGAGAAGGCAGGAGCGGAAGAACGGGTCCGGAGCGAGGGAGAGGAGGGAGGAGCGGAGGCGGCGCAGGGAGTGCCGGGGCGCCGTGCCATTGCCGGCGTCGATCGCTGCGAGAAACGCAGCCATTCGGGGCACGGCTTGATGGTCGATAAGAGCGGGCCAGCATGATTGGTCTTCTACCATCAAGCAGAGGGTTGATAGGGTGTGCTCTAGCTCTGGATCGGAAGCGTCTGGGTCGTACAGAGTGGTGAGGAGCGGTGGGAGGAGGTTCAAGGAGGCGAGTTTCGGGCGGAGGGAGGGGAGGGAAGCAGCGGCGGAGATGAGAGGGAGGGTTTCGCACCGGACGGACTGGGGGAGGCGTGGGAGGGAGAGAAGAGATGCTGCTTCCTCCACTGCTCCTCCTCGCACCACTGCCTGTAGCCCCTCTGCTGATGCTCCTGCTAGTGCTGCGAGAATCCCTACTGCTGCTTTCATCACACTCTCTCGTGGCAAGCGTGGGAGATCTGATTGCGAATCCGACTGTTGTATTTGTCGTGACGGTGATTGTGTTGACTCGGGTGACGACTGCCCTTCGGGTACTGCTGCTGCCTGCAGCAATGCCTCCAGCTCCCTGACTTGAGCCTCTGTAATACCAAAATCTGTAGCCCCTGCCTCCTCAACCATGCCTTGTTTAAAATCCTTAGAACCCCCCGTCTCCTCCTGTGTTCGGTCCTCCATCCCATCCATCCACCACACAGAAGCAGTCGCACCACCAGCAGCAGAAGCAGTAGCAGCACCAGTGGCTGCTGGTGTTGGTTGCATGTCATTGTGCCATTGAGAGGCGCTAGTGTGAAGGAGATTGCCAAGCAGAGCTATGAGAGGAAGAGGCGCGTGGGGAGGCAGAGACGGAGGAGGAGGAGGAGGAGGAGGAGCAGCAGCAGCAGCAGCAGCAGTGGTGGAAGAGGGGGATGAGCTTAGCATGAGAGAGAGCAGTTCAGATGCCACTTCCGGCCTCTGCTCAATTTGTTCATATATGGCACTCACAGCACGCTCACGCTCGTGGCTCGGGTGATCCAGCCCGAGCCTCGCCGCCAGGTCCGGCAAAGGCTCGACAGAATCGTCGTCTTGATAGTAGGATTGGCCGTAGGACGCGAAAGGAGAGGAGAAACCGGAGGAGAAAGGAGAGGGGGAGGCGGACGGGGAGGAGAAGGGGGAGGAAGAGGGAGCGGGCGGAGAGGAGGGAAAGAGTAGCGCCCTGTCTTGCGCAGGGAGCTGATCCAGGAAGTCTGAGGAGGCTTGAGCAGGGAAGGGTGAAGGGAACTGGAAGGGCGAGGGCGCGGAGAGGTCTCCTGTGCCGGATGGTGCATCCCATGGCTGCGAGCAGACACATGGGATGCATGGAGAGGGATAGTGAGTTTTTGATCGACTCAACAGTCATTTCCTGTGCCGGATGGTGCATCCCATGGCTGCGAGCAGTGAGGCATGGAGAGGGATGGAGAGGGATGGAGAGAGGCGGATGGGGAAAGGGAGAAGGGGAGAAGGGGTTGGAGTGCGAGGGTGAGAAGGGATGGAAAGTGAGAGGGAGGAGATGAATCGGACATGACTCTGAGAGAGAGAGGCAAAGGACCAGTGGCAGCATAGGCGGTGAAGGCGCCCTTGCACATCAGCAAAACGACCCACAGTGTATACTTCTTTCCAAATATGAAATCCTTACCAAGTTTAGTGAGACAACCGTTCTTACCAGATGCATTCCAAAACCGCCATTAAAAGGACCGCCCGAAATATCCTCTCCTGATTCCCCCGTCACATCCGCTCCTTCTTCCCCAACCCTCATCTCCCCCCCGTCTTCTGGCATGCGATCACCGACCTCCTCCGCAATTTCCCCCCCATCCCCCTCGGCAAATCTCCGCGCATCCCCCGTTTCCGCACGCTCCTTGCTAGCCGCGTCACCCTCGCAGTCCCCCGAATCCCCCGTTGTCTCGCCCCTCCCATCTGCGCCACCACCTGCGGCGGCGGACGCGACAGCAAACACGCCGTTACTCTTGCCGGCTACGCGTCTAACGGAGACTATGCGTCTCCCGCGATTCGATATTAACGCGAATCTGTGTTCTCTGTGGGATGGCTTCAGCAGCGGCTGCAGCGAGACGTGTCCACGTGGCACGTGGCCGTCCGACGTGGCGAAAGCGCGATGGATCCGCCGCGTCGCGACGAAGAGCGACGGCGGTCCGCTAAGCGAGAAACGCCGCGCAGGTAACGTCGGCGCTTCGGAGGCGAATCGTGCCGGTGGCGCGACTCCAGCGCATGACCGTAACACCCGCATCGCTACGGATTCGTTATCAACACTTCGCTACCGGAGTAGTAAGCTCGAGATATTCGGAATTCCAGAGAAAAGGCTAGCGTCCAAGAGTCGAGAGCGTGTGGGGGACGCCCCTGGTTCTTGGAGATCCCGCGTGCCAGGGGGGGAGGATCAGTCACATTAATCCGCTATACAAGATTCAACAGTCTTATTCCAGTGTGGCAGATGATCCTTCAGAAAACACCAGAATAATTCTCACTTTAAAAAATCCCTAGAGAAGTCAAAGGTCAAATTTAGACCTACATCAACCTACAGGCCCTATCTCATCTTATACTCAGATTCACAATCTACACAATACAGTACTCGAATGTGTGAAGTGCACGCACTAGGTCTGCTGTGCTCAAATCCCTAAATAAGCTTGAATCCCTCTCCTCACCACCACCAAGCACTGGCAGATAGTTACGTACAATTACTAGGATACCTGACTGACTGTTAACCTGCAATGCCACACTGCCACGGAAAGCAGCAAATCCAGCAGCAGCAAGAATAAACACGAGCACACAGCAGAACGTGCCACGCCAAGCCGCTCGCACACACCTAGTCCACCAACCTCACCCCTCCACCATCCACACTACAGTACCGTACCTTCCACAACACAACCACATCACCGAAACCACACACCTACACCCACACCCACCGCCCTCACATTCCCCCAAGCACCTGAACCTACCTAACCAACTGCCCAACCGCCCCGCACCCCGCAAAACCGCTCAGAAATAGCTAGACTGTTGGTGCAGCAGCTCGAGATGACTCAAGATCTTAGCGGCAACAGGCTTGGTCTCATTGGAGCCATGCTGTGTGATCTCAATGAGCGCGCCCTGGGCCTTGGTGGCGTACTCAAACTTGTACTCCTCGAGGCGAAACAGCTTCTCCAACATCCACACGCCCTTCTCCTTGGCCCTCTCCGTGCCCTCGCTCAGCTGCTGCACCACCCGCCCAAACCCGCCTGGTGGGGAGAGAGGGAGAGAGAGAGAGGCAGACGGACAGGGGAGACCGCCAGGCAGGGCAGAAAGGAGGAGGGAGGGACCGCGGAATAGAAGGGGGAGAGGGATGGGGACGAGGGTGGAGATGGGGATGGGGATGGGATGGGAATGGGGATAGGAAACAAAGAGCTTGATGAGCTGGTAGGGTCTACCCTGGCAAAACAAACCCACCCATTGCCTACAGCTGGACCCCAACAGATACCACCAGGGGGCAACGGGGGACCACCAGGAAATGCAACCCAGAATAGAAGGAACAGAAGCACTCGGGAGCAGCAAATGCCACCCTGCTTTGCCCAGTCCAACCCCCTCTGTATCCCGTCCCATCCAACCTCCCATCCCATCGCATCCCACCCCTCTCAACACCCAAAAAACCCTAGCACCCAATCCACCGCGCAGCAATCCTGACCAGACTCATGGATGATCGTGACACTGGCCTCCCATCGGCACTAGTTTGACTTGCTAAGCCCTCAAACTTCTGAGACTCATGAAACAACCGAACGAACCCCACCAACCAACCCAGCACCCAACCCAGCAACCAACCCAGCACCCAACCCAGCAACCAACCCAGCACCCAACCCAGCAACCAACCCAGCACCCAACCCAGCAACCAACCCAGCACCCAACCCAGCAACCAACCCAGCACCCAACCCAGCACCCAACCCAGCAACCAACCCAGCACCCAACCCAGCACCCAACCCAGCACCCAACCCAGCAACCAACCCAGCACCCAACCCAGCAACCAACCCAGCAACCAACCCAGCACCCAACCCAGCAACCAACCCAGCACCCAACCCAGCACCCAACCCAGCAACCAACCCAGCACCCAACCCAGCAACCAACCCAGCACCCAACCCAGCAACCAACCCAGCACCCAACCCAGCAACCAACCCAGCACCCAACCCAGCAACCAACCCAGCACCCAACCCAGCAACCAACCCAGCACCCAACCCAGCAACCAACCCAGCACCCAACACAGCAACCAACCCAGCACCCAACAGCAATCCTGACCGGACTCATGGATGATCTTGACGCTGGCCTCCCATCGGCACGAGTCCGCCATGAGCGTCGACAGCGCCGTCAGCGCCGCCTCCGCAGTCAGCGGCTCCTTCTCGCCCATGGCGCCCACCAGCGGATCTATCGCCTCCGCCTCCAACAGACAAAAAGACGTGCGCACAGAGCACGTCCCCCCGTGCAGCACACACTTGGGCTCTTCCGGGGGTTTGAAGCAGCACCCTCCGGACTTGGCCTTGACTGAGACGGAGAGCGTGGGGCTGGATTCTGAGAAGTTGCCCAGGCAGAGGGCGGCTCCGCGCTTGGCTCCTGCGTTGCCGGTTACCAGGAGGGTTACAAGCTGTGGGATGGCTCCTAGCTCCGCCAGCTGCTGCTGCTGCTTGATGCTGCGGGAAGGGAGCAGGGACGGGAGGGGAACGGGGGACCGGTGGGAAGTCGTTTCAGCAACCGTTTGAGCTTTCTCTAATGTCCGCGGGATGGCTCCTAGCTCTGCCAGCTGCTTGATGCTGCAGGTGGGGAAAGGGGGGAAAGGGAGGAACAGGTGGGAAGGGGTTTCAGCTGTGCAAAGAGCAGGGAGCAGCAGATGGGTGGGCGCAGTGGTAAGGTCCATGGGAGGTGAAGGGACAACGAGAGAGTGTGTGACGGAGTGGATGGAACCAGGGCGGATAAAATGCGAAATGGGTGTGTATGGAGGGCTAATGCGTGGAGGATGCAAGGAGGGTTCCATGTAGGGTTGCATGGAGGATGCATGGAGGATGCATGGAGGATGCATGGAGGATGCATGGAGGATGCATGGAGGATGCATGGACTCGTACTTGCTGGGGAGGGTGAAGCGCACGAGGGCGTTAGCAGCGCCCTCCAGAGCCGCGTCCTTGAGCTGCGCGTTCGTGCCCACGCCACCGCCCTTCATGCCCAGCATCGTCACCAGCGTCTGCACCACATCCGCCTGCAGGGGCACGCGCGCCGAGGGGGAAGAAGAGCAGACAGAAGGGGGGAGGGGGTTGTTTGGGGGAAGGGGGAGAGAGGGAGAATCCCAAGGCGCCTAAAACAGCGGTCCTTTATCAGCAAGCTTTAAATTGAGAGGATTCCTGAGGCGCCTTAACAGCTGAGCTGTGAATCAGTTCAACCAACCAGCCTGGTTCGGATTGGCGTCACTAGACGACAGCACAGCAACGATATAGGCAGCAATAAGTGTAGGCGGCTCAAAATCAGCCCACCCACTCACCCACCTGCTCACCCATTCACCCACCCACCCACCCACCTGCACGAGCGCCTGGTTCAGCTTGGCGTCACTCGCAGGCAGCGCAGCGATAAGCGAGGCAGCAGCAGCGCGGTTATCAAAGGAGTCCTTGTCCTGCAGCATGGCGATGATTGCCTTGAGCGCCGCGCCCTGCCCCTCCATGAGGCTGTCCGCCACGCTCTTGCCCGCCTCCGCCTCCTTTGACAGCTCCCGCAGCACTCGCGCTGCTAGGGGGCGCGTGGCTGGGCCCTGGTGGGTGTTGGCGGGGGGTGGAGAGGGAGGGGAAAGAGGAGCCCCATGGTTGCGTGCAGTAAGGGGAGAGGCAGGGCGAGCGAGGGGAAGGGGTGAAGAAGCATGGGGAAGGGCCGGGAGCGGTTCGGAGAGGGGGGAGGGGTCGTGAAGGGAGTTGGGGAAAGAAGGGAAGCAGAGAGAAGTGCACGTGAGGGAGCGGGGCAGGCAGGAGGGGATGAGAGGCCTAGCGGATAATGAGACAGGATGAGTGAGGCAGTGGCAGCACGTGTGGCAGGAGCAGGAGCAGGAGCAGGAGCAGGAGCAGGAGCAGGAGCAGGAGCAGGAGCAGGAGCAGGAGCAGGAGCAGGAGCAGGAGCAGGAGCAGGAGCAGGAGCAGGAGCAGGGGCGGGCATGCACGCTATTGTACGTGCCCAAGAAAAGAGAACTAAGCAGCACGCAGAAGGCGGCACTCAGCACTAAATCAGCAGGAACAGCGGGAGGAGAAGCACTGGGGAGCAGCGGGGAGCACTGGGGAGCCGCGGGGAGCACTGGGGAGCAGCGGGGAGCACTGGGGAGCCGCGGAGAGCACTGGGGAGCCGCGGGGAGCACTGGGGAGCAGCGGGGAGCACTGGGGAGCCGCGGGGAGCACTGGGGAGCAGCGGGGAGCACTGGGGAGCCGCGGAGAGCACTGGGGAGCCGCGGGGAGCACTGGGGAGCAGCGGGGAGCAGCGGGGAGCAGCGGGGAGCAGGTAGCACTGACCCCTTCAGAGCCGTCAATGAAGGGGATGAGCACATCCACAGCTCCGCCCACTATCATGCGCTTGCGCACTTCCATGGCCTGCGGCACTGACGCCATGCCCAGCAGCGCCTTCAGTAGATTCACCTGCACGCACATGCACATACACATGCATGCGCGCGCACACACACACACATGCACGCATGTACATAAACACACACACGCACACGCACACGCACACACACACGGAGGCCATGGTGCATAAGGAACAGGGGTGAGCGGCAGGGGAGAAGGAGCAGGCAAATAAAAGGGGCACAGAAACAAAAGGATACGCCCTGGATAGAATAAAAGGATATTCATGACCCAGGCTGGGCAGTTGCACCGACCAAAGAAGGCCACGTGTCATGTCTGGAAACACACAAGCTCTTCAAGAAAGAAAGACAAAACAGCCCTGTGCATGCATTACCAGGCCCACCCGAATGCTCAGTTCAGCCCAGCAACGTTCACAAGCGAGAGCGGCTGGAAAAACTCATCCTTTGAGGCGCATCAAAAGTCACCCACCTGAATGCTCGGCCCAGCGATGTTCACACGCGAGAGCGGCTGGAAAATCGTCTTTTGAGGCCCAGCAAGGTTGGGCCCACCCTAAAAAGTTACCCACCTGAATGTTGGGCCCAGCGAGGTTCATAAGCGAGAGCAGCTGGAAAATGGTCTCCTCGGACTCCAATATCCCCCCGTTGGCGTCAATCCTCGTCTCCGCCTGCGCGCCCGCCGCCATGGAAATATTCGCGAGAATCGCCGCCGCGCCCTCCTTGAGACTCATCACCACGGAAGTGACAGAGAAGAGCAGCGTGAGCAGCGGGGGCACCACGCCCGCGCGGATGAGCTCGTTGCGGTTGGCGGCGAGCGAGGAGAGGTTCTGCAGCGCGCCGAGCGCGGCGGCCTTGGCCTCGAGCTTGCCGGAGGCGATCATGGTGACGAGCGGCGGGATGGCGCCCTGCTGCACCAGCACTGCCTTGCTCTGGTCCGTCAGCGACATGCGCGAGAGAGCGCTCGCCATCACAATCCGCGTCATGTCCGAACCTGGGAGGGGGAGAGGGTAGAGAGAGGGGTAGGGAGGTGGACGTGGGGAGGTGGGAAGGGGGAGGGAGGGGCGAAGATTGAAGGAAAGGGGGGAAGGTGGAGGGGAAAAGAGAAGAGACGTAGGGATGGTGGGTGGGTAGGGAGCTCTGCGGCACCTGCACGGCCATGCTCCGTGCAGGACTGTCTGCGATCCTCGTCATGTTCGAGCCTCTAGTGTGACGGGGCATGAGTGAGAGTGCACTTGCTGTCGCGATCCTCGTCATGTGCGAGCCTGGGAGGAGGGAGGGGGAGCGGGCAAGGGTGGCAAAAACGTGGGAGGTGCTGGGAGGAGAGGAGACAAGGGAGAAAGGGAAGGACGGGAACGGAGGTGGGCGAGGGAGAAGGAGCATCGGGAAGGAGAAGGGGAAGTGGGGATGAGACGCGTGATACAGATGGGAGGTGGGAGGTAGTGGGAGACGTGGCAATATTCTATTCTGTTGAAATTGGATACAGGGAAGTTGGCATAGTCAGCGTTCGAACTGGACTTTCCTGTTAGTCCACGCAAAAGGGCCCAAACAATCCTGTAACAGCACCCTTGCAACACCCTGTCAGCAACACTCCAGCGGCAGCACCAGCAGCTCATCAGCAAGACCCTCAAGCACCAGCAGCAGCCCAACCCAGCCCAGCCTCCCATAACCCACCTGTGCTGAGTCGCTCCGCAAGCGGCTTGAAATGGTTCGCCTCGGCCATCTGAACAACATTCTGGTCGTTACTCGCGAGCTGCTGCAGCACGGCGGCGGCGTCCTTGGCCGCATTGGCGTTCTCGTTGTTGAGCATGGTGACGAGCAGCAGGATGGAGCCCTGCGCGCGCCCGATCTCCTCGCACACCTTGGGGCTCTTGCTCAGCTCCAGCAGCAGCGCCACGCCCTGCCGGCTCTCGCCCACGTCGCGGGACAGAGAGCGCACTGCCAGCTGAATGGCGCCCGCGTCCACTATCAGCTCCTGCGGGACGGGACGGGCGCGCGGAGAGGGTGAGGGAGGGGCGGGGGAGAGTGGTGGGAAGCCTCAATAGTAGGCATGTCGCGGGACAGAGAGCGCACCGCCAGCTGGATGGCGCCCGCGTCGCTCCTGCGGGACGGGCGCGCGGAGGGAGTGCGCGGGAGGCATGGGAGGGGGTGCGGGGGGGTGGGCGCGGAGGAGTGAGCGGGAGGCTTTTGAGTCGGCTCAAACGTCACGCGAGAGAGAGCGCACCGCAAGCGGGATGGCGCCCGCGCCCACTATCAGCTCCTGCAGGACGGGCGTGGAGAGGGAGTGAGAGGGATGGGCGAGGGGAGGGGTGCGGAATCGTTGGAGGCGAAAGGCGGGCATGAGGACGGCGGAGAGGAAGGCAGTGGGTAATAACTGGCAAGGGCGTGCGGGGGATGTGGGACGGGTTTGGATTTTCGTTCGCGGAAGCTCTAAGAGACCGCACTAGACGAAGCTGAATGGCGCCTGCGCGTGATCCGACCTCCCGCGGAAACGGCACCGGGAAGGGCCTGTGGCGGACAGCGATTGGCGGATGCCCCCCTCCCCACTTCCCCCTCCCCCTCCTCACCAACACACACACACGCGCAAGTTCCCCGCACCTTGTTCTCGTCGTTCCCGTTCGCGAGGTTCGCGAGCGTCGCGAGCGTTTTCCGTCTGAGGTTGCGGCTGCTGGACTTGAGCAGGTTCACGACGATCGGAATGAGACCCTCCGCCGCCACCCAGTAGCGGTTGGTGGCGCGCTCCTCGCACAGCTGGAACAGCTCCAGCAGCCCGCCCTCCACCTCCTCCTCCTTGGCGGACTGCAGCTTCGGGCGCGCCGCCTGGATGCGCATCACCGTGTTGCGCGCGCGCCACTCCTCGATGGACCGCGCCATGTCCTCGTTGCGCGTGAGTTCTAAGTTCTCCAGGGGCTCCTGCGTTACGGGGCAGTGCTTGTTGCCCTCTGCGCGCGTGCCGGGGAGAGAGGGGTGGAGAGGGGTGGAGCGGGGTAGGAGAGAGGCGCAGCAGCATTAGGCAGTCCTAGGATGCTGTAACTGGATAAGGAGATATGGGTCGGCGTCGTCACGGCGGCGTTATAGGAGACACGTTTGGCTTCCTCGTTCTTTTCTAAAAATAGGAAAAGAAAAACGAATAAATCAGAAGCTCTAGTGCTCAAACACTCCGTAATCATTTTCGAGGCCCCTATCGCGAGCCAAGGGTTGCACCGGAGCCGGCCAGCCGTGCACGGCAATGTGACCTGTACCAGCCTTCGTCACCTCCAAACAACTAAGTCTCTGCTTCTCCGCTTCAAGCCCTTCTCTCTCCCACGCATTTCTAACTCATAGTTTCGTAACATCCACCTCACCCTTCCAAGAACCATCCTCAACTCCACAGCTGACCTTCCCTCCCTCGCTCCCTCCCTCACTCTCGCACTCGCGCACTCGCGGCGGCGCTTACCTTCGAAGAACTTTTGAATGGACTTAAGATCGAAGGTGTGTCCCGACGCAATCGTAACAGGCTCCTCCATAACGTCGCCCGATATGGGGCACAAGTACTCGTCCATGGGCGGCACTTCCATCACCTGCCCTGTCGAGCTCTGCTTTCGCCTCTGCTTCTCCCGCGCCGCTTCATCCGCGTCCATCTCCGCTTTCGCCTCCGCATTCGCCGGGTGCGGCGCGTCTCCCCCTGACTGGTTCGCGCTCGGTCCCGCGCCTAATGCGGGGTGCCCTGACGCTTCCCTACCGCCCGCTTGCTCCAGCTCTTGTGGCGTCTCCATTCCCATAAAAAAACGACGAAAAAAAACCGCCTATGCGAGGGTGTGCGGGTGGTGAAACACACTAGACTATCTGAGTCTGGTTGTGCTAAGAAACTAGCTATGGTAGGGGAATCGGATCGCAAAAAGCTCTTCTGCTAAACTGATCCGAGGACAGACATAAAAAGTTGCCGATTGCGGCCAAGAAACGGTACGCTCTGCAAGACAGCGCATCGTATGAGAGACGATTGAATTATAAGTAAGCAGACAAGCCAACACGCATATGTGAAGTCCACGACAATGCGGCCGTGAGGGTAAGCGAGGGTCAAACAGCATATGCACGTTTCCTCTACTCGTCCACTGATTCTCTGCCCTCCTCGACAGTCTCAATGTCTACCGCCTCCCCTTCCAAATGCAAGAGACTGCAATAACTACCTATCTTCCATGCGATGCCATCTCAGCCATTCTAACACCCTCCATCGCGACACGGTTCCCTTAGGCTACTCAAAACACTACTTGCTAACGGAAACTGAACCCTAATAGGGGAATGTTTGTTCGGCTCTTCGGCAACGTGCTGCTGAGGGAACTGAACTCGGGTACGGTATGGTAGAGTTGAGCTTTGGGTACCCGAGCCTGTCTTGTTTCAGTGAGGTTCGGGAAGTGTTTGGGGAACATCGCGGGTGGCATGCGTGGAGGCCCGGTAGGTCTGGTTTGGAGGTCTCTTGGAGGTTCAGAGCGAGGTGCTTGCTTCGCCCTAGGTTTGATGACTTGCCGAACCAGCAGACTTTCGGTACGTGGTACCCTTGTAACGAGGTCCATACAAGCCGCCTCGACTCTTATGCAAGCGTAGGTGGTGGTGCCAGTAAAAAGGTGAAATTGAAGAGCGTGCTTTTCTTCAGTATATATTTGCTTTTTAAGCTCTCCAGCATTACGAATATCGGAACGGGTATAACAAGCAGCAGTGATTCTAGAAGGTCCGCTTGTGTCAGACCCAGTTTCCCGGAGGCTTAATCGAAGCCGTTCAATACCATCCAAACGTCGCACTTCGGTCGTGCAGGAGTGTTTTCTAGGGTGATTTGACTGTCTAGTAGAAAGCGCACAAGACACTGCCCAAAAGTCTTCGTGTTTTGAAAACGCAGTTTGCTACATTCTTTCACCTGGGTTTCTCGACGCAGCAAATTCGGGAGAAGGAAATGGGGTGCTGGGGAGGAGGCGGCCCAAACACCCGAAACCCCAGACGAATGTTTAGTTTCTTGTATTATCAGGAAGAAACACCCTGACGTGTCCATCCCAACCAAACCTCTCAAAGGCCTACACCGTCTTGAATCTCCCTCGGGCGGGTCTCACCCCAACTAGCTCCAGCCCTCATCACCAACACCACCAGCCGCCACGCCTCACACCTCTCACTTCACTTCAATATCCATCACCGTCGCATTCACCGCCTTGCTGCTTGTGACACCGGGCTGCCTCCTCCACACCGCGCTGCGTCACACCGGAGCGCGAGCCGCTAGCGCCGTGCTTGCTTCAAGTAAGCTAGTCGCCTCATAATCTTGCCAGCGAGCGCTCGTTGCTCCTGGTTCCTTCGGCTTTCCGACCACCGACTTCTCAAGGCGCATTCAGTAACCTTCCTGCTAATTCGCCTGCACATGCTTCTTACCGCCGCACTGCGGTACCTCGTCCTAGCCAACCACGGATTTCACGTAACTTCTCTCGGGCGCGATCACTTATTGCCCGCGGCGTAACAAGTTCGTGGTCACCTGTTGTCCGCCGGCGCGACGAATCTCAGACCCGTATCTTGCGCCGGGCTTCGCGGGGCAATCGCACTACAATCGCCGTCGCCGCGTAACCCGTTGTTTTGAATATTGGTCACCTATTACGCCACGGGGTATCCAAGGTGTTGCCGAATCAGCTATAGCGTCCCGTCCCTGAAGCGTTACTGGAAGGGTTTTAGTTTATCATATTTTTGCTCCGGGTGACGCGGCTGCGCGTACTTTCCGCCGCCTCAGCCCGTTCGAATCCCCTCTCCGAAACGCGTCGATTCAGTTCCACTGTTCGAATCTGGTATAGGCAGCATGGCCAAGTCAGCGCAAGGGAAGGAGCTTCTAGAGCTTTACGACAAGCTGCAGACCGCAGCGGGAAAGGCGGCGGATTCGCCGGCGGACGAGGACCGCGCGCTGGATCTGCTCGCGCAAATGGCGGACTGCCGCGTCAGCACGGAGATTCTCATGGAAACGCAGGTGCGATTGTCCTTTCTTCCTGCTTCAGAGACTGTTGCGTCCCCATTTCCAAAGCATGACTAGTGTGGGAAGGGGAAAGTGGGAAGGGGAGAAGCGGCTGTTGCGCGTCTAGGGTGCGCTGCGCCTCCTCACGGCCGTGCTATCGACGACATTGCGCGCGATGGCGCCGACGCGCTTAGGCGGAAGCACTTCAGTCTGGTCCGCATATGTTTCCATCCCACTGACCCCCTGCGCTCGTGTGACCCGTTCTCTTCCACCGTCTCCCCCCCTTTCCCGTCTCCTCCCCCCTCCCCGTTTCCTCGTTCCGCAATGTCGCGGGCAGATGGGGAAGCTTATCCGCAAGCTGACAAAGCACACGTGCGCGGGGATACAAAAGGGCGCGGGGAAGTTAGTGGAGCAGTGGAAACAGGTGGTTGCCGCGGAGGCGCGGGGCGGGGGAGGGGGAGGCGGGGGAGGCGGGGGAGGCGGAAAGGAGAAGGACCAGGAGCGGGGGAGGAAAGAGGGGGAGCGGGAGGGGAAGAGGCCGGGAGAGTCGCAAGATAGATCCGATGGGGGGAAGGAGAGGGGGAAAGCGGGGCGCGGCGGAGACGACTGGAGGGAGGACGGCAAAAGCGTGGGGAACGGGGGAAGCGGCGGGAACGGCGCGAACGGGTCAAACGGCGCGAGCGGGGGGAAGGAGCGGGACGGCGCGAAGGGGAACGCGGCGGAGAAACCGAAAGGCGCAGCAGTAGTGCCGTTCAAAACAAAGATGCTGATCAAAACGGGGGATGTGATGAGAGACCGTCCGCGCGAAGCGGTGCTGCAGGCGCTGTGCCTGGTAGCGGGGGAGGTGCAGGGGGAGGAGGAGGAGCGCGCGCGAGCCGTAGACGTGACTGCTGTGGCTATGGAGGTTGAAACAGAGCTGTGGCGCAAGTATGGCGGCACCAAGGACCTCAAGGTGCGGGGGGGCGTGGGGAAAGGTGTTCAGGGGAGGAGTTGGGATGGGTTTGATGAGTTGGAGAGGGCTGGAGGTTGGGGGTTGGGAGGTTGAGACAGAGCTGTGGCGCAAGTATGGCGCGACCAAGGACCTCAAGGTGCAAGGGGCCGGGAGGAGTGAGGGGTTAGGGAAAGAGTGTGGTGAGCTGGGATGAGTTGGAGAGGGATTAAAGGTTGGAGGAGGTTGGGGTTTTGAAGCGTGGGGGTCTCCTCCTCCTCCTCCTCCTCCTCCTCCTCCTCCTCCTCCTCCTCCTCCTCCTCCTCCTCCTCCTCCTCCTCCTCCTCCTCCTCCTCCTCCTCCTCCTCCTCCTCCTCCTCCCCCCTCGCCTCACCAACATCCTGCTCCTGCAGTACAAAAGCAACCCGCAGTTGTGCTCCATGAGGTGACTTTTGAGTCGACTCAAAAGTCACCTCCTCCTCCCTCGCCTCACCAACATGCTGCTCCTCCTGCAGTACAAAAGCAACCCGCAGTTGTGCTCCATGTCGTTCAGCATCCCATTCTCGCACATTTAAGTCGCCTCAGCACTCTCTCAACTTAACAATGCCGCCCCTCACGACGACCCCCCCTAACCCCCTCTACCCTCTCCCCTCCCTCCCCTTTCCCCCCCATCCTCCAACCTCGAAGGGGCACCACAGGGCGCCTCAAAGCTCAACCTACCAATCCCCTGCTCCCTTCTCTCCCCCTCACCCCCCTCTTCACCCACCAGAACGAGGAGGTGAGGCGCAAGAACAAGTTCCAGTCCATATCCTTCAACCTCAAGGACCCCTGGAATCAAGGCGCAGCAGAGCTCAGCCTACCAATCCCCATCTCCCATCACAGTCCCCCTTTTTCCCCCCTTTTCCCCCCCCTTTCACCCCCCCCCCCCCCCTCCCCTTCCCCTTCCCCCCATCCCAGGACTACAAGAACAAGTTCCGGTCCATCTCCTTCAACCTCGAGGACCCCTCCAACCCCGACCTGCGGCGCCGCGTGCTGCTGGGGGAGGTGTCCGCCGTTGAGCTGGCCGTGATGTCGCCCGAGGACATGGCCAGCGATGCGCGCAAGCGCGAGAACGAGGAGGTCAGGCGGAACGTATTTTCGCCCTTGACCCACCCACTGTCCCTCACACCACCCCACGCCCACCTGCGCCCCCAACTCCCTTTCCCCCCCACACCAGGACTACAAGAACAAGTTCCGGTCCATCTCCTTCAACCTGAAAGACCCCTCCAACCCGGATCTACGGCGGCGCGTGCTTCTGGGGGAAGTATCCGCCGTTGAGCTGGCCGTGATGTCCCCCGAGGACATGGCGAGCGACGCACGCAAGCGCGAGAACGAGGAGGTGAAGCGCAAGAAGACGTTCGAGGCGATGCGCGGGCAGACGACGGGCGCGACGACGGACATGTTCAAGTGCGGCAAGTGCGGGCAGAGGAAGACGACGTACTTCCAGATGCAGACGCGCAGCGCTGATGAGCCCATGACCACGTATGTCACGTGCCTCACCTGCCAGAACCGCTGGAAGTTCTGCTAGGGAGAGAGAGGAGGGGGGAGGGGGGGAGGGGGGGGGGGGGTTGAGGCGCGTTGAAACGAGAGGCGGGTTTTGTCGTTGTGAGTTGGGACTGGTGAGTCGAGGACCACGTGTGTCGATGTCGTGTGCGTGGCCTGGCAAAACTGGTGTAGGTTTGGTAGGGAGAGGCACGAGAGGTGGAGTGAGAGTGGGGAGGTGCGGGTGAGGAAGGGGGGGAGGGGTAGCGGGTGGGGAACTGTTAGGGCTTGTATTCTGGAAAGTTTTGGGTGGCTTGGTTTGTGAAAAGCAAGGGGAAGGGAGAGGGTGTGGGTGTGAGCATGACTTTTGATCTGATTCAAAAGTCAACTAGGGTGTATGTGTGTGGGGAAGAAGCAATGAGAGTGTGGGTGGTGGGTTACATCAAGAGCAACAGCACCTTGGTTTCTGTCTGGTATGCCTACACTGAGTACGGCACGGCATGGCGTGGCATGGCATGGCACTCTTCTTGACTCTTTCTGTCCGTGCCGCCTAACTCACATCTGTGTGTGGGGGCTGCATTGCATCTGCCCCTTTATAGGGTCGCTAAGTAGGCATGCTAAGCTGATGATACTGTAGCCTAACTTGTACCAGTACCATACTCCCATATACTGTACCGGTACTACGGTACTGCTGTGGTAGGGACAGTTTGACAGGCGTTATAGAGTGAAGTGCGGATGACTGTCTTGACAGCACGATGCAATTGCAGTTATAGAGTGTGTGCTACTACATGTTTGTTGCTTTGCATTACTCTATACCAGAGAACTTTCACTGTGTCCTAGAGAGATCTGATTGGATGAAGGGTGTTATGGAGACAACCTAACATAACCTACTACAAAGTAGAGAGGTAATGAATGGAGTACCGCCGTACCGGTGCAACCCAACCTAGCCTACTACAAAGTACAGAGGTAATTACCGTATGCTAGGAAGGGAGTACCATATCTAGAAAACCAGAAACAACACAGGGCTGCACATTGCACAACACAATTTCTAGAGTTCAAAACTGGTTTGTCTACATGAGGGTGGGTGGGTCTTACAGTACCTCTTGGCAGGTGTGCCCAGTATTTGCTAGTTTGTTCCACAGGATAAGCTTTTTGAACAGTACCGTATGTATTGATACATGCATTTATAATGAACACAAACACAAATATACAGCAAATACCCAGACAGACGGCCATGGCCCACAAATAACCACAAGAATAACCTACCCAGCCAGGGAAAACTCGTCTACGGGTCAACAGAACAATTAACACAACACCAGACGGGAAGCTTCATGGTTGTTGAAGCTCTCATCTCAAACCTCGTCATGCCAGGTGCATGTCGCCAGACAACACTCGGGAGGCAAGCGAGGCGGTGCAAGGTGTTTCAGGAATCAGGAGTCTACATAGCACTGGTCGTTAATCAGTATCACCAAGCCTATGGGCCAACTCCAGCAAACGAGGACTTTTGATGCGTCTCAAGAGCAGGAGGTGCGGGGAGTCTACAAGGCCTTGGAGAAAGCGGAGAAGCCACAGTCCGTGGCGAGCACTCCAGACGTCTCGTAGTCGGCGGCCTTGCCGTCCAGGAAGCCCTGGCCGTTGTCGCCGTCGGCAGAGAAGGGAGTGCGCAGCAGCCGCGACAGCATGGCGTAGTCAATGGCACGCTCGGCGCGGCCCTCGCGGTACGTCTGCCCCATGATGCCGTGCACCGACGGGGAGCGCGACACGTGCTTGAAGTTGACGTTCAAGTGCACCTGCGCGTCGTCGGGCGTTTGCAGCAGCGGGTGCGCGGGCCTCAGCTTGATGTCCATGGCCAGCTTGTCGCCGATGCGCAGCGAGTACGCGTCCACGTCAAAGAATCCGCCGCCCTCCTGCTCGTACCCCTTGAACACAAACGCCAGCCCGCCGTCCAGGTTGTACGACTCCCCGGGCTGCACCAACAGACAGGGATACAAGGAAATAACCAAGGGTTAGTAAGAGCGTGATGACGGAAGGAAGACAAGGTGAATAAAAGGGAAAAAATGGATCGAGAGGAAGGCAAGTAGTATGCTGACCTCGAGCGAGGGCAGCACGCGGCCGTCGAACTCGATGAGCGAGAGGAAGCCGTTGTCGCGCTTGTCCGACTTGCCGTTGCGCGCCACCAGGCGGAACGAGTGCTCCACGCCGTCAGCGCTCCACACGAACCCCAGCTCGCGGATCCACGTGCGCACCGCCAGCCCGTTGCGCAGCAGAGACGCGCCGATGGTGCGCGTGTCGTAGTACCCGCGCATCTTCATGTTCACGTGCAGGCTCGAGTCCGTCAGCAGGCAGTACGACTTCTCCGGCGCGCCGTTGAACTCGAACCGCGTGCCGTGCGCGCCGCGGAAGTGCGGGTCGTGCTTCGTGTACGGGCAAGGCCGGCCGAGGGTCGAAGCGTTCACGTACGTGCGCGTCACGCCGCCGTCCACCACCGTGCGCGTCTCGCAAGTGGGCTGCGGGTCCGTCGGCTTGTACAGGTAGCAGATACCGCAGTTGTTGCAAGAGATGGACGACGGGATGTAGTGCTGCCAGAACGAGCACGCAGTCGAGTTGGTGCACGCCGCGCAGCACTGCCGGCGCAGAACAGCGTTGCCGAAGCACCGCGGAGTCAAGCCAGTGCCGCACCGCCCGTTGTTCGGAACCATGTACCGGCCACTCAAACCGCTGCTGTCCGTGCAGTTATCTGTGCAGGGGATGTCCAGAGGAGCCGTGCACGTCGTCACGCCCGTCCCAGGGTACTTGGCATCGTTCCACAGAATCGTTTGGGTCGGGGTGGGAGGAGGAGGAGATGGGGGAGGAGGAGAGGGAGACGGGGGGGGAGGAGAGGGAGAAGGAGGGGGCGGGGAAGGGGGAGGCGGGGGAGAGGGGGGAGGCGGAGGCGGCGGCTGTTTGACGGTGCAGGGTCGGCCGAGCCTGGAGACATTGGCCTCTAGACGGTTGAGGCCTCCTGCGAAAATCATGTTGGTCTGGCACTTGGGCGCGGGGTCGGAGGGCTGATAGAGGAAACACACTCCGCAGTTGGCGCACAGAGTCGCTTCAGGGCTGCACGGGAGGGAGTGGGAAGGCGGGGGAAAGAGTGGGAAGGGGACGGCAGGGAGGGGAAGTAAGGGAGCGTGTGTGTGAGGGGTAGTAGAGGTGGCGAGTGAAGGGAAAAGGAGTGGGAATGCGGCGGATCAGGGACGAGGATTCGTTAAGAGGCACCGCGACGGCGGGGGTAGAAGTGTACCAAGTGGCCCTACTGGGGATCAGAGTACCAAGTGTGAACGGGATATTGAAGGCAAGGGGGCAAGGAGGGGGGGGGGGGGAGTGCTCACGGGGGGAAGTGCTGCCAGAAGGTGCAGTTGACCATGTTGGCGCACGCGGTTGCGCAGTCCGCCGACGTTATTCCCCCTCCCGCGCACACCGGCGCTACTGCGCCCGCGCACCGCCCGCCGTTGGGGATCTGCGGAGAGGGAGAAGAATGGGGGGAGAGCAAGGAGTGGGGTGGGGGAGGGAAGGAGGGGGGGGTGGTTACGACTGACGTCGGAAATATGGAGAGGACGAGGGGATTGCGCGGGGGAATGGCGGCGACAGAGCGGCGGCGAGTGGGATGGACGTTGGACGCACGGGGAGTTTGAGAAACGTGAATGAGAGAAGATGGCGGGAGAATGTAGCGCAACCAGCAAAAAGCACCGCACCCGCCATAGCAAGCAGCGCGCACGCGCCATGAACGCGCAAGCACGCAAGAGCGCAAGCACGTACGACGTATCGGCTGAGCCGGCCCGTGGAGGTCGCCGGCGAGTCGCTGCACGCGACGTCGTTGGGCGGACCGCAGTCGTTAATCCCGACGGCGTAGTTGTACTTGTCGTCGTTAAAGACCGCGCTGCCGAGAATCGCGGAGGAGGAGGAGGACGAGGAAGAGGAGGAGCTGCTGGTGGTCGACGCTGCAGAGGGTCAGAGGGGGGGACACAAGCGGGGTTAGCGGGTGATACAAGGGAGGTCAGAAGAGTCATTGAGAGAAGAGGGGATTGCGGGCGGTGGGTCCGCGATCGGGGGAGGAGAGTAGGGGACGGGGAAGAGAGGAGTGGGCGGGAAAAAGGGGTGGAGTGGAGGTGTTTGGAAGGGGCGGAGAAGAGTGTGAAAGTGGAACGGGAAGGATGAATGTCGAAGTATGAGCATTCCGGTTGATTAAGCCAGAGAAAAAAACGGAGCGGAGTGAAATAGCAAGCAGCAGTTGGTGCAGGACACAGCAAGGGCCATGGCGGCTTACAGTTGTTCGTATTCGTCGTCGACGTCACCGTGGCTGTAGACGACAGCCCCGTTGTAGTCACAGTCGTGATCATCGACGATGCCGCCCTATCCGCCGCAATCCGCGCCGCCGACGCCATGGACGTCGCCGCCTTTTCCGCCGCCTCTTTCTCCGCGGCGAGCTTGTCAGCCGAGCTCTTCTGCTTACTCGCGTCGTCATATTCTGACTGCGCGTCCGAAGCTTGCTTCAACGATATTCTCTCCCTCGCCGTCGCATCCGCCGCCGCCTTATCCGCTGCAGCTTTATCTGCGGCGGTTGTTGAGTAGGCCGAGTTCGCGGTCGCGAGGCTCGCGAGCGCCGTTTGCGACGTTGCGAGCTTCGCATCGTAGTCCTTCTGTGCCTTATCCAACGCGGCCGCGTTAGCCTTCGTCGGCGAACTTGCCGCCTTCTTTTTCGCGCTCTCGAGCGCTGCTTGCGCCTTGGCCGTCGCCTTGCCGGCCGCATCCGCCGCAGCTTTCGCCTTTTTCACAATGTCCGCGTTTTTCGCGAGTTCCGCCGCTTTCGCATTCGCGATCGCGATTGCGTCGATTTTCGCCTTCGTCGCAGCACTCGCCGCGTCTTTCGCCTGGGACAAAGCAGCCGCCTTGTTTTTCACGACATCGGCAAGCTGCGCGACAGTTTTCTGAACCTGCAGCTTCTCCGCAGTTGCTTTCGCGAGAGCGGCGTTTAGCTGGTCTATTCTGGCCTGTAGCGCCTTGAGCGCGTCGTCCGCCATCTGTTGCGCCTGCTGCGACGAGTCGCCGCCTTGCGAGGGCATGGCGGCTCCCGAGACAAGCGACGGGACGAGTAGCAACGTGATGAGACAGCTAAGGGCCATGCCGGCCCTCGCGGGACGCAACATGAGGGCTGATTCTAGTATCTAGTTCTTCTATTCGAGTTGCGATGATCTGTTCGAGCTGCCTGCCGTCTACAATCTGTGTGAAGTTCCTACAGTTAGCTGGCTAACCGCGATCGAAACCAGCGAAAGCGGAAAAATGAAATGCTTCGGACCTAGTTCGTGTAACTCTGAAAGATAACTACGAGTGCTTTGACAGCGAGGGAGGGGCGTACGCGTACACTTGTAGCACAAGCTTGAGAGGGGCCCGCGGATTTTAGCCTCTTATTCACAAAGCTGGGACTTCGACGCATGCGAGCAGCAATGGAAAATGGTGAGGCGAAGAGGAACCACTTGAGGATCAGTCGAGGCCCGAACTGCAATGTATGCACCCAACGTAGATGAGGGACAAATCAGTCGCCGCGAGGTCAGATGCTGGTTCGAGGTGTGAACTTGTGAAGGAAAATCTGTCTGCTTGCAGCACTTCAGCGTGCCGCCGAGCTTACGCAGAAATGGGTTCGAGTGGTTGTGAATTGAGGGGAGGGGGGCGGAGGATATCCCGCCTGCGACCTGCGCTGACGAAAAGGCGATGGGGGGAGAGTGGGGTTGGGAGAAGGGGGATGGGCGGGCACCTATCAGGGAGGGGAAGGGGGTCGCGCGCAAGGTAGACAAGGGATTTCGGGGCGATGCCTGGACAGTTGGTGTGGGGAAGGGAGGGGATGGGACTGAGGGGGGAACGGATCACAGGGGCGGACGGCGTATTGCGGGAAATTTGGCATAGAGGCTGAAGCATGCGACAGTGTTCCAAGAGGCTGGAGAACACCCTGAGGTAACGAATCCTGTCAGGTCAATACTGGTTGGCAGTCGTGGTGAACAGGTCAGCAGAGGAAGAAAGAAACGCGCCAGCTCAGCACCCAGTCTGAGAAGGTTACTGTAGTAATCCAGAGAAGAATGAAGAGGGGAAGCTGAGGGGGGAAGGGGAGCACATGAGCCGTGGTGTAAGTTGGGTTCATGATGAAGTGGGATGGCGGGATAAACGAAATGCACGAAGACAGTGACGATTTCGCAAGCATTAATGTTCACACGTTCATAACGGGCTTCGGGCGCATACTCTGAAGTAGCGAAACGATATCAATATGCCTGGGAGACCACAACTACCACCGAGAGAAGATGACGACGTAATTATGTAACTCTTGATGAGGTGTGAGCAGAATCTGCTGCTGTTGATGGTCTTGGGGAAAGCAATGTGCATTGTTACGGCCCAAGAAGGCAGCGATGTTACAAGGGACGCGAAACGACTGATCGAAATGTTACCAACAACCGCGACAGAGCATTCCTGAGAACGCAAGAAAACGCGGAGGACAATGCTTATCCCGACAAAGTGCTAAGCAGTGAACAGAAACCATGAAACGACAATCGAATGTTGTTTACTCCTGAATGCAGTGCTTGCTGGGGTCACCTGAAAAGCCGTTCGCATCCCCATCTGCACTCTTCCCGCAAGATCCGTGGGAATTCTTTCTCGGTTACAGTAATATTTCTAATGGTGAATCTTGCGGGGCAGGCTGCTCACAATGCCACGCAAACTCAATCAAGGACAACACGAACGATCTGAATTGTTGGTCCTCAACGGGTCAGGTGGTTTTTAGAAATTTCGTGTTCGGCCAGCAGCCACGACAATAGCCTCTGCAGAATTCTCCTGTAAAATAATCTCAAAAGAAATTACCCTGAAAAAACCCGTAACATGAATTATTACATAGTTGACAGAATTACTGGACAAGCGATTTCCTTCCGCTCCTTAGCCGGTAACGGCATTATCTTCAGTGGAATGATGATGCTTAACAAAATTTGGGATTTGGAGTAGAAGGCCAACTCTCGAAATTGCAAGAAAAAAACATCTGCGGGAAACGTTCCGCTCATGGTTGTCAAGGAGCTCCAAGATGTTTGAAACTGGTCACCCCATGTCCTGCCCAACGTACCACTTTGAAACGAATCTGGCATACTCGCCCATCAGCGCAACGGAGAGGTTGTTGGAACGCCACGCCCCACCACCCACACCGTTCGACGTCCCGAACAGCAGCAACTTTAGGGAGGGCGTTCGAGACGCAGGATATCTCAGGTGCTCCGACACAACAGGGAACAAGCAAGCAAGCACAGCACCCAACACCTGCCATCCAAACAACTTTAGTTTTAGTTCTTTCCCATCTTCATCATTGTCAGATCGACCCCACCCCATCAAGTAAGGTAGTCTAGCAATAGAACGATACACCTGTCCAAAGCTTTTAGTTATCTCCCTCGCTGGAATCGACGTCGAGGCTGTCCAACTGTATCACTATGGGTCCCAAGCTTCTCTTGGTGTCTATGGTGGTGTTGTTGCTTAGTGGTGGGGCCCTTGCTAAGGGCAAGATTGGAACGACGTCGACCGTCGCTCCCACAAACGCTGATGTTCAGGCTCTGAAGCAGAAGTCCCTTGCGATGCAGCAGCAGGCCTCTCAGAGGACACAGGAGCGTATCAATGCTGAGCTGGCGGCTAGTGATGCTCAGAAGGCCGATGACGACGCCAAGGCAGCCGTTGCCGCCGCTAAGACGGGAGTGGCAAACGCGCAGGCGGCTAAGAATCTCGCCGCGACGAACGCTGCCAACGCCGCGAAGAACCTCGCCAAGGTGAAGCCTGCTTACGATAAGGCAGTCGCCAACGTGGCGTCTAAGCAGACGGCGCTCGACACTGCTAAGAAAAACTACGATGACGCCGTGAAGAAGGGCGTCGGCCTCACTGGTTCAGCCAAGACGAAGCAAGACGCTGCTATCAAGACGGCCCTGACGAACCTGAACACTGCGCAAGCGAACTACAACAAGGCTGTGGCTGACGCCAAGGCTCCGACCGACGCGTACACCCCAGTGAAGAACGCAAAGGATGATGCCGACGCGGCGCTGCAGGCAAAGACCGACGATCTTACGGCTGCCCAGCAGAAGCAGATTGATCTGGAGCTGAAGCTGTCGGACGCGGATCAGAAGTTGGCGGACGCGAACAAGAAGGTGGCCGACGCAAAGGCCGCGGAGACCCAGGCTTACCAGTGGGCTTCCAAGGCCAACGATGACTACACGACTGCTTACAAGGCGTACACGACTGCGCAGTCGGCCACTTCCACGACTACAACCACCACGACGACCAGCACCTCAACCACGACGTCGTCTACCAGTACGTTGTTCTGCCTTTCTGTTTTCGTTGGGTATGTTGTTGCTCGTGTGGATGCTACTTGGTTGTCTCTGCCCATTCTCACGTTGCTGTGTTTCGTTTGCTTCCAACAGTTCTGTGGAACGACGCCAAATACCCTGGGACGGGCGTGACGCAGTGCACGGCTCCTCTGGACATTCCCTGCACGGACAACTGCACGGACACCAGCGGTCTGAACGGTCGCTACGTGATGCCCAACGGCGGACGGTGCGGCACTGGTTTGACTCCGCGGTGCTTCGGCAACGCTGTTCTGCGCCGGCAGTGCTGCGCGGCGTGCACCAACTCGACTGCGTGCTCGTTCTGGCAGCACTACATCCCGTCGTCCATCTCTTGCAACAACTGCGGTATCTGCTACCTGTACAAGCCGACGGACCCGCAGCCCACTTGCGAGACGCGCACGGTTGTGGACGGCGGCGTGACGCGCACGTACGTGAACGCTTCGACCCTCGGCCGGCCTTGCCCGTACACGAAGCACGACCCGCACTTCCGCGGCGCGCACGGCACGCGGTTCGAGTTCAACGGCGCGCCGGAGAAGTCGTACTGCCTGCTGACGGACTCGAGCCTGCACGTGAACATGAAGATGCGCGGGTACTACGACACGCGCACCATCGGCGCGTCTCTGCTGCGCAACGGGCTGGCGGTGCGCACGTGGATCCGCGAGCTGGGGTTCGTGTGGAGCGCTGACGGCGTGGAGCACTCGTTCCGCCTGGTGGCGCGCAACGGCAAGTCGGACAAGCGCGACAACGGCTTCCTCTCGCTCATCGAGTTCGACGGCCGCGTGCTGCCCTCGCTCGAGGTCAGCATACTACTTGCCTTCCTCTCGATCCATTTTTTCCCTTTTATTCACCTTGTCTTCCTTCCGTCATCACGCTCTTACTAACCCTTGGTTATTTCCTTGTATCCCTGTCTGTTGGTGCAGCCCGGGGAGTCGTACAACCTGGACGGCGGGCTGGCGTTTGTGTTCAAGGGGTACGAGCAGGAGGGCGGCGGATTCTTTGACGTGGACGCGTACTCGCTGCGCATCGGCGACAAGCTGGCCATGGACATCAAGCTGAGGCCCGCGCACCCGCTGCTGCAAACGCCCGACGACGCGCAGGTGCACTTGAACGTCAACTTCAAGCACGTGTCGCGCTCCCCGTCGGTGCACGGCATCATGGGGCAGACGTACCGCGAGGGCCGCGCCGAGCGTGCCATTGACTACGCCATGCTGTCGCGGCTGCTGCGCACTCCCTTCTCTGCCGACGGCGACAACGGCCAGGGCTTCCTGGACGGCAAGGCCGCCGACTACGAGACGTCTGGAGTGCTCGCCACGGACTGTGGCTTCTCCGCTTTCTCCAAGGCCATGTAAACTCACACTTTCTTGTGGAAGGCTTCAGAAATGATTGAAGCTTGCTTCCTTTGTAACTGTATTTGTATGGATGTTTGAAGCTGTCATTAAATTTGTAAGACCTATTTCTTTAAATCATGTTACCATCACAATTCCACCTCGAATCAGCTTATCGGTTCCTCAACCTGAACTTCTGATACAGCTACTCTCGACAACCTTGACTATGGTCTAACGAACAGATAGGTGCTAGCGTTGGGAGGTTTGGGGTTGGGGTAAAGATAACTAAAGCTGCTCAAATTCGCCCGGATCATATATGACTTATCTCGTACACTAAACCCTAAACCCTAAACCCTAAACCCTAAACCCTAAAAAATGCTTGGGTTATCTTGTATTTGGGTAGGTTTTGGGTGTCTTAGGGTGCGTCCCCTCCCTCGATCGATCGCGTGATCGCTGTGAAAAACCGATCGGGCACACCGATCGCAGGATTGGGGCGGGATTGGTAGGAGGTGAGAACAGCGGATCGATCTCGAGCCCTGGGTGACAGGATCTAGAATACTAGGGGCAAAAAACCCTCGATCATACTAAAGCTGAGATCGGTGTGGTCATCAGCAGAGGTGACAAGATCGTTGGGCACCAGTTACTGTAGATTCGCACTCTCTCGAAATCAGGTTGCCCTGTCAATTGCGACACTGTAGCTGTCCCTCGATCGATCGAGGGCAGGATCGATCGAGGGAGGGGACGCGTCCTTATTGTCAAATGTTATAGCCTATTGTGGGTCATGCTATATGGGGTACAAACAGTTAGGGTTAGGCATGTATACCCCAACCCAATCAATCCTATTCCATTCCGCTGTAGCTACTTTCCGAGATGCTATCAGCTAGGTTCCTCGCTCCTAGGCCCTAGGTTTAGGGTTTCGTTCCTTCCCTAGCTCGCCACACACGCCAGCGCGCTAGTGCGCTAAGCCCTAAGCCGCCAGCCAGCCAGCCAGCTGCCCCCTACTGAGCCACGCCCGGCAGTCGACCGGCTGCGCAGCCCGCCCGCCACCCAGTACGCCGCGCCGCACGCCCCTTAGCGCGCCGCGCCGCCCACCAGCCAGCGCACTGCGTCGCCCACCAGACAGCGTACTGCGCCGCCCACCTACCCACCTGCATGCCTCCCCGCCTGCCCACACGTTACTGATTGTCTCCCCCCTCCCGCGGCTGGCAGCCGCGCTCTCTCAGTTTCGCCCCCTATGGCGACCTCCCGAGTACTTCGTTTTGACCCTGAGGGGAGACCGATTGATTTTAGTACGTGGCTTACGCAGGCGCAGCGCCACCTTAAGAGCCAGCGGCAGGATGGCGTGCACTTGTTCGCACACGCGTCTGGCACTCAGACCGCCCCCCCGCAGCCTCGGCCGCTGCCCACTACCCCACCGCCTACCAGCGCCAGCTCCTCGCTCGTGATATGTGGGAGTCTCGTGACGCCGCTGCCTGCCTCGCCCTGACCGACCTTCTCCCGCCGACAGAGGCAGTCAACTTCGCTCATATCGAGTCTGCTGCAGATCTGTATAAGGCTATTGTTGCTCGCTACTCCACTCCCTCCTCTGCTTCGCTCAGTCGCCTCCTCGTACCCTTTATCTACCCTGACCTCGCCTCCTTTGAGACTGTCTCTGACCTCGCTACCCACCTGCGCTCTTTTGACGCTCGCTTTTGCGCTGCTTGCACTAAGGACCAGCTTGGCCTTGCCCCGCCTCCTATGTGACTCACTTTCACTGGCTAGTCACTCGCCTCCCTGACCGCCTAGCCACAGCCCGCGACGCGCTTCTTCTGAAGCACCCCACTGAGCTTACCATCGATCTTCTTTGGACCACTCTCTCGAAGATCGAGAGTAACCTCCTCACTGTTGCCTCTGCCTCTTCCGCGCCTCCTCCTCGTCTTTTTGAGGGGTGTGCGGTACCACAGCTTCCCACCTTCACTGCCTCACTTGCCACCCCCACGTCTTCTGCCTCCGAGGAGACGGCGGCTGTTTCTGTCTCTGGCGGACAGAAACGTGGCAAGGCCGGCAAGAAGGGCGGGAAGGGCGGCGGGGGTACTGGGGGTGGTGCGGGTAGTTGTCACAGGATCGAATTTCCACTCGAGAATGTTGCACTAAAGGTGAGTACAAGGCGTATTTATAATTAGAAATACATAGAAATAATCGATAATCCGAACCTTCGGGAACGCGCTCTCATAGGATAGATAATCACTAGTGCGCATAAGCACGCAAGCCCATTGGCACATTGGATTATGATGAGATTACGCCTTGTACACCACCGTCGATGCTGTCGGTGCCGTATAAGTGAAATAGTTGGAAAGCTCTAGAAAATAGAATAGTAGTCCGATTGAGGTGAAATAAAGTGCAAATGAAAGAGGAAAATAAGGAGAATAAGATAGAGTAAAAATATGGAAATGAGAAATATGTCGAATGTCGACGTACTCTTACAGTAGTGGCGGCGGCAGTGGGCCAGGTGGTGGGAGTGGTGGTGAGGGTAGCTCGGGACCTGACGGCCCTCCTCTCGACGGTGGAGTTTTCACTGGTGGTGAGGGGTTCCAGCAGCAGCAGCAGCAGCAGCCGCCTTCTTAGCAGCTGCCACCGCCTGGACAGCAGCAGCGGCAGGGACAGCAGCAGCAGCAGCGACAGGGCCAGCAGCAGCGCCTACCGCAGCAGCAGCCTCAGCAGTGGGGCCCTCCGCAGCAGTGGGGCCCTCAGCAGCAGTGGAGGTCTGCGGGTCCCCCGAGCACTGGGCGCAGTGGCGCCCCCTCCAGTCGGGGACCTCGCGCGGCCGGCCGCGACGTTGGTCCCTGTGAGTACTGGATCCTTACGGGTCCTCGTAGGGACTCGTACTGTGGCCGCCCCGACCACTCTGCTGCACGCTGCTTCAGTCGTCTCGACGACCTCTACCGCTTGCACCACGGCCCCTCCGCTCCCCCGCCGCCGCACTGGGGGGCGCTTCTTGCTCGTAGTATTGCTGTTTTCGACGGTGACACGTACGCCCCCTTGGCCACTTTCCGCTAGGAGCCGGGCTCTGGTCTCTACACCCTCCGCGCCGACGCCCATCAGGTTCCCCCGTCCCACCAGGTAGCCAGGTCCAGTCAGGTTGCTGTGTCAGGTGTAGTTGCTGCGTCGTGCTCGTGTCGGTCGCTTGCCCACCCCACCGTTCTGTGGCACCACCGGATGGGGCACCCGTCCCTCACGCGGTGCCTGGCGGAGACCGTAGACCGGCCGCTGGAGCCTCCACTGGGTACCAGGAGGAACCGACCCAGTGAAGCCAGGAGGGCGGCGCAGCCAGATCTCCTCGTGCAGGCAGCCCTGCAAGAAAGCAGTGCTGAAGTCAAGTGAGTGAAGCTCGTAGTCGCGCTGAGCGGCTATGTGCAGGAGCACCCGAAGAGTGGTCATCTTCGGGGTGGGGGAGAAGGTCTGGAAGAAGTCAACTCCCTCTCGCTGACTGAAGCCTCGAGCCACGTAGCGCGCCTTGAAGACAGGAGGAGAACCCGGTGGCCGCTTCACCTTGAAAATCCACATGCCACTGACGATGTTCGCCCCAGGTGGGGGAACCTCGTCGACGTAGGTGCCTGTGGACTTCCAGGAAGCCATCTCTGCGTCCATGGCTGTCTGCCAC